ACCCTGCGAGCAACTTTTCCCTACCGTCACCCCGTGCGAGCTCGGGGCTCAACTCGCCCGCCGACTGCAATAGGCAGTTTCAGCTTGGTGGGGGTAGCGGGACTGGTACCGGGCAGAGGCCCACAGGAGGATCCGGATCAAACAGTGGAGCTGGACATCTGCCGGGTCACAGTCCGACAAGCCAGGATTCACCGAACCCAACAACTGTTGGTGCTACAGCCACCGCTACGAGGCTGAACCACAGCAATCCAGGTACACCAGTCTCGCACGGACATTTAGCCGCCCTCAGCCCTAGTGGCACACCGCAAAAGGATTCCACTGGCCTCGAATTTCCTACCAATCAGCCGCCGAATGGTATGCTAAATAATCTTATTTTAAATTTAATAGAAGCAGATTTAAATTACCAATCGATCGACAATTAATTCATAATACCTTAAGGGTTTTTTAGACGCTTTACCTATTGTGATACTATTGTGATATAGTTACCTTGATTTTAAAGATATATTTAAAGATATTTTCTTGAATTTCTTTGCAATCATTAATTAGAGTGATTATTATACAATCTATTTGTACATGCGATTCTTCAGCTCTTTAATGTACTACTTTGCAATTTGAATAGTAGTATTAACGCGCTATTATCTCAAATACTAGATTTTTTATATATATTAATTTAATTATTTTATATCGTAGAATAAGAAATTATTAGCAATGCAATAGTTAGATACTATTAGAATTTTCATATTATATCTATTAACAACAGTATTCAGATTGTGCCATCATCGTATCATATAGTTATAATTTAGATGACAACGAAGAAAATTTTTATATAGGTAGATTTAAATTCATATAAAATGGTTAAATAAAACTAATTTTTATAAATTCACCCAATATTTTCAATACATTTGTATTTAAATTTAACTATAATTTTTTATTGATTTAAGAATTTATTTTAATTATTCTGTAGTATATTATATTGTATATGTTAAATAATAATCCGAACTTTGTTGAACAAATGATAATAAATCTAATATTTTTTATTATTTTATATTTTAATAAGATATATATCTGAAATACATAATTATAAATAAATAAATATTTTTAGTATCATTGTATAACTAAAATTGGTGTTAAATACGAAATTCTGAAAAACATATTACATATATCTACAATAATATAATATTACAAATGGTGGACACTAGAAGCATAAATTGTAATTGAATTGTACTAATTGGCACTATAATCGTAATGCAAATGTTATAAGGTTTATGTTACGTTTAATTTTTAATTTACAATAATATTTTTAACTTCATCAGCTTATTAAGTTGATAATATATATTTAAATATAATAATAAATATAATAAACAAAGATTATAATAAATAAATGAAATTTAACTAAATGGATAAATTTGAATAATTTGTAGTCTTTTCATTTAAACTGCCTCTAGCTTTATTTAGAAATGGTTTATATGCAAGTTGGACTATATGTTCGTTTAATTAATGACCTTTTGTTTATTCATTATTCTCTTTAAAAAATAAGAAAATTTAATCGATACTTTAACACGTTTAAAGTATATACTAAAGTGTCGAATATTACATGAGCTTGAAAATATTTAATAAATAATAACATTTATTAAAATGTTATTCTGATGCATTTAAATTCTCCAATATGAGTACATATTATTTGCTAAATTTTTAATAATAACATGGTTACTTTAGTATTTATTACATTTTGAGATGTAGCTCTAAAAAAACACAAATAAATAAAGGAAAACAAATCTAATTTTGTATAAACTTATTTAATAAAATAATATATTTGTTAAGAGCTTTATTTTGTACATAATGTATATTTTTGTATGTATTAAAAACTATAATTGTAGATATGGTTTTAGTTGGATATTTTCGTGAAATATTATAATGTAAAATGGATATAGAAAAATATGTAAACATTTACAAGTTTTGAACATAAAATGTATCTTTCAAATAAATATTTTTGAATAATATAATATTTATTCAATCAAAATTAAAGCAAAAATTTACATATCAACTAATTTGATCTTTTAAGAATGAATGTCTATCATACATACACATATTTTTATATGTCGATAAATTTTTCAATGTATTGTAAAATACTATATTACATGAAAATATACAATTTAAAATTATAAAATAGATTTTTCATTCATTCAAAAATTGAAAATAATCAAATTTGTTATTTTATAATATTTTCACAGAACTAAAAAAAATGTTGATATCACGTATCTCAATTATTTCAAATAAATTACGTACATTTTTGTAAAGATAATTTTAAAAATGAAATTATATTTTTTAAATAATTGATCAATTTTTTATATTTTCGTTTGTTTTAAAAATTATTGTGATATTGTGCTTTTGAAAGCATTTAATTACAGTATTAATTATTGATTAATTAATTTAATTAAATTATCTTATCAAATATTTAAAATATTAATTTAATAATAATTTTTAAGAAAGTTCTTTATACAAAATTATTGAAAATAATCGAAATATCTATTAACACATTATTTAATAGAATTAGTTATTAATGAATTTTCATTTCAGTAGATGGTATGTTTTGTCGATCGTTGCAATCGTTAACGCAACAAAAACAGTCGCTCGTTCCTAGCGGAGTTAATCAAGTAGGAGTCAAGGAATTGATGCCAGTACCGAGTCCTCAACAAATATCGTACCTTAATACATTTGAGGGACAAGAGCTGACAATACAAAAACAGCCAAATACAAGCCTAAAAGATGGCAGCTTACCTACGTGAGCATTTCCTTTTAAGTTTATTAATATGCCGTATACTAATAAATAATATAGAATAAAGTTTGTAATTAAGATTTAATGCAAAGTAAAAAAATATTTTTTAAAATTTGACAAAATGGGTAAATAATCTTTTAGTATAAATACATATTAAATTTTTGTAAAAGTTCTAAGATTAAAAATTTATGTAAGTAAAGAAATTTGTGAAGTAGCTTTAACGTTAAAATATGAAACTATAAATATCGTGAAATATAGACGAAGTTAAATCAATATTATATGATAAATTAATATTTTTATGAATTTTGCAGAAATACTCAAGGGAATAACCCGGAGATGGGAAGTCGTATGCTGCCGGGCAATCTAGAAGGTGGCGGCGGGAGTACTGGGAACAATCAATACGGTCCTCGATCTGAGGGTGCTAGTCCGTCAATAGAAAGCGCAAGCAGGGGATTCGGTGGCTCTCTACACAGTCCACACACGCCTCACACACCTCATACTCCGGGTAGTGTGGCACCCCATACTCCCGTCGACGCTGGAAAGCCCGGTAATAAAACGACCAGTGCCCAAAGTAGTCCAGCCTCACACAATACCAGCCTTACGGATATGGGCATGGGCCCACCTCGCACGATACCCGCCTCGCCTAATACTAAATCCGAAACTTCGCCCTCATCCAAGGATCTTCAACAGCATCAGCAACAACAACAACAACAACAACAACAACAACAACAACAACAACAACAGCAGCAGCAGCAGCCAAACATACCTGGAGTAGTACCTGGAGGGCAGGGTAATGTGCCTGGTAGCATGATGTCGTCAATGGTCGGTCCAGCGAGCAACACATCTTTTGTCTGCGGTAGACCCACGACGAACGTCAGTCAGCCGAACGATAACATCCCTCTTAATCCCAATAATATTAGCAACAGACTCGCCAGCCTTGGATCAATGAATGCCAATAGCTTCGATCCTATTACCTCTCTTGCGCAAATGAGTCAACAGCTGACTAACACTGCGACAAGCAACGCTCTAGGCAATGACAACTCGCCCATGCATCCAGGCAGCGCTCAGGGTATGATACCTTTCAACCATCCCCATAATATGCATATGATGCAGATACAACAGCAACAACAGCAGCAACAACAACAGCAACAGCAACAGCAGGTTAACGAGATGAATGGTGGATGTCACATGAGCAATGAGTCCAGCGACGTCTCAGGCTTATGTATGGGACTCGGTGGAGCCGCTAGCAGTTACAGTCCAACACCACACACGGGCAGTCCAGGTATTCCAAACAAGATGAGCCAACATCATCATCCAATGATGTCACATGTGATGATGGGCACGGGTGGAGGTGGATCCCAGGGCCCTAATAATCCGAATGTGAGTGTCTCCCAACCGGGTGGTTATCCTTCCGGCCCTGGGCCAGGGCCTGGTATAATGGGTCCCGATGGTCCTCAGTCCCGTCTCGGCATACCCGGTCAGCACCCACATTCGCATCAACATCAACCACCGCCCCACCATCAACACGTCCACGGCCCCAGCCCTTATAATGGAGCTAATGTTCAAGTGAAGCCGAGTGCACCCAATACCATACAGTACTTGCCGGCTAGGCCAAACGTCGGGCATGCACCACGTGGACCGCCTAGTCTTGACTTTCTCCAACGCTTTGCCAACCCTTTGCCGGGACTTGATGCGAAAATGAACTCGCCGTCCGTCAATCTACAATACTTTCCCAACGGTTGTGTGCCCAACAGCCTCGGGCCTGGACCTCATGGCGGTATTGGTGGCCCAGGTTCCGGCCCTGGAGGCATACCCCCGAACATGACTGGAAACACTCGTCTTGACAGTCAGTCGAGTATGGGCAGTCAGCCTCAAAGTCACATGCACCCAGCCATGAGGCCTATCCCAAGTGGTGGGCCTCAAGGCCCAGGGGTTCGCCAGCAATCCAACATCATGCGTATGCAACATATGGTGGGGGGCGGTGTTTTTCCCAGCAGTCCTATGGATCCGGATAAAGTCTTTCCACCGGATATGCTGCCAGGGCCACAAATGCCAGGTCAAAATGCGAGTCCAGGAATGTATGGTGGTCCAGGTCCCGGCCAAAAGCAGCCCAACGCGATGAGTCAGCTAGGCCCACCACCAGATGCCACGCAACCCCTACCTCCAAGTATGGGTGAGGCCGGAGGTAATTTCAAGAACAGTCCATTTATCGGCGCTGGTCCAAGCATGTCCGACCCGAATTACGCCCAGCAGTTCCACCATTTCCAACAGCAACTGTACGCGACTGGTACGAGAGGTAGTGGGCCCCAGGGACACCCGGCTATGCATACTCAGCCCAATTCGCACGCGCATCAGCAGTTTTTTATGCCTAAGTAGGTCATTGATACCGAAACGGACTATGTGCACGTCTCAACCCCAGTGTAGTAACCGAGTAGTCGAGGGTCTTTCTTAAATGCGTAATTTTATTTAGCAGAGCCTCGCTCGTTGCTCGCCTCACAACTCTGCAGTTATGGCGACGTAACTATTTGTACTTTTATGTGTTTCAGTTTGCTAAGCTGAAATTATATATATAAAAAATAAAAAAACAAAACCGCGGTGCTTCCCCGATTAACGGAAATGTAGAGCGAGTGAAGGGAGGGAGGGAGAGAGAGAGAGAGAGAGAGAGAGAGAGAGAGAGAGAGAGAGAAAGGGAGGGGAAATAGAAGAACGGATGAAAGAATGAACAAACGCTGATCTTTTTTCAAGAATGTTAATAAAATATGTTCTTAAATATAGTGTGCCAGAATATTTGAAATATGATGATAGATAGGTGGGAGTGAACGATAGAACGAGGGTGAATGACTTAGAATGAATGAATTAGGGAGAAAAAGGCAATTGTGGACGAAAGCGATTGTTAAAATTGAATGAGTGATTTGAGAAATTTGTAAATTTAAAGTTACTATATCGAAACAATGGCGCGACTGTACATATATTACATAGATTAAGGCAAAATTTGGGCTTTCGCAATGTCGCTCGACGGACATGAGATATATATACAATAGACGGACTAATATAGAGAAAATGTAATGATGATAAGCGTCGAGAGGCGCCTGCGATCATTACACTCGAATTTAAAACGCGGGAAAACCCTCGACCAGCGGTGATTTCGAAACCGGGGGCGTTTAGTCCCGTACAACCTAAATATTCCTTTTATTGATTATATATAAAGCGCGTGTGCAAACAATTGAATGTCGTCGACGGCGAAGCTCCATATTGTAAACAAGAGCCCGCGAGGAACATCTACAAAAGGCTATCGAGTCCTTCCTTTTATGCTAAAATACTTAAATGAAAAAGCTCAAAACCACGAATGTACATATATACGATATATACATATTATATATATTATATATATTATATATACATACACATGTGTACCCAACGACATAAATTCTACGATATCGTCCGCCCCTCCATATTCCATTGAGTTATAGTTATAAAAGTCTACCCTCTTCGTGACCAATTTTGTGCATAATCATGAAAATCTGTTAAAAAATTCCTTCCTTTTCACTCGACAAAACACTCGCACACAATTCAACGCAACACACCTCACTCACGTAGTGTGTAACAAAATATATATATATATATATATATATATATATATATATATATATATATATAAGAAGATATAATTGACTAAGAACAATTATGTTGTTGAAGAATGATTTTTATTATAAATGAAAAATAAAATAAAGATATTTACAAGAAAGAAGAGTCAGTAGTGATAACAGTCGGCGAGAGAATTGACGCTTTGCACTGTTACCTACCTTCATCCAATATGTGCAGTTTAATCTGCTATTTTTTCATTGTTTTTTTTCTACTAATTTTTTTCATTTATGAACTTACTCAAAGGCTTGGCATTGAAATTTATCGCACATTAAGAGATGAACATCCATCATTTACGTTGCTTATTTACAATAGCTTAATTGCTATATATTTTATGAAAGTGCTTTTTCTTAATACAAGACACAAATACTATTGACTAATTTCTTATTTAATCACACGAATAAAAAAGAAATTTGTAAGTCAATTCTTATTTAAAAGATGCGCATATTATAAAGATATCATGAAAAAATTAAAATGATTTTTAAACAGTTTTCACTATTTTGCGAAATTAGCAGTGTACTCTACTTATTTTCCGAATTACCAAATAGAATTTTGCATATTTTGCAAATTCATTCTACAAAATTTGGCGTTGTTATTATTTATAGGATTACAAACATGTGCGCAATTGGGCGATTTTCTTTCACTATGCAGAATTCATTTTCTTGGCAAGCTTTCATAATACATAATTTGAAGCATCATTCTCATCTAGAATAACAATTTTTTTAATAAGTAATTTTGACTTTGATAAATATTAAATATTTAAATAATACTACCTAGACTGACGTTCTTCCGATGAACCAGCTTTACCATTTGAACTATAAATATTCAAATAAATTATATTATTTAACAAACTTTTTTTATTAAATTGAATTTAAATACGCACTTTTTTTTTATGGGTGTGAAGTCATCCCATTCACTCAAATCATACTTTGATAAGTCTCCTTCATCTTCATCTTCATCTTCATCATCATCATCATCTTCTCTCTATAATACAAAGTTCTTACTAAACTAACATCCATATTATAAAACTTAAATGCATTAATTACCTCTGGTTCTACAGCTACTTCATTCGACTCTTCTATATCTTGTTTAACTTCTTCCTTCTCTTTATCCAATTCATCTGTTTTACTATTCAAAATTTTTGATCTGCCTCGAGGTGGACTGCTATATCTTGATGAATCTTTGGAATCATCATCGGAGCGGTTTTCTAATTTTCGTTTCTTTCTGCGCCTACCAAACTCATCATACTCATCATCATCATCATCTCTGCGTTCTTTGTACTCAACGACACCTCTATCATTGTATCCACCTCCATAACCCGTTCTTTCTTCAACCTCTCCAAATTTTGGAGCATTGCACATGTTACATTGTTGACGACGTGCCCAATTGACATTGCCACATTTACTGCATTGCCAATCATCTGCACTGAAATTGTAAAATATGTTAATAAGAATAATTTGTACAATATAAATAATAAAACATAACAAATAAATAATATAATTAAGAAATATTAAAGTTTTTTACAAGCGCACATCTTTTAAGTTATTTATTTTTTCAAATTTCATTAGCCATCGAGTCGACTTAAATATATATTTTTTTCTTTTACTGTATTTACAGAGAAAAGGCAATGTATATGTAGTTAGGAATATTCATTATAATATATTATTTTACATTGTAAATGAATTTACAATTACGAACCATATGTCTTAATCATTTGAAACTTACCTAAATAAACCTCGACTCTTTTCAGCAGCTGCTTTTCCAATTTCCTGACCAAGCTTCTTCTTTTTGGGGCATTCTCCTCGGTCTGAGAATGGGTAAAATGAATAATATTCTTTTCTCTCTCACCGAAAAAAGATATAGCATAAATATCTTTACCTTTGCCACAACGATTACAGGAACTGCGCTTTGCAAAGTTCACATTGCCACACCTGTAATCCAAAATAGAATATATAAAATATATGAGTATTGTGTCAGGCTACAAATAATGGTCAGTCAGCAAAACCATATATGCTTCATTGTTATTAAAAATATTGATTAAATAAAATTTTGTCTTGTCGATGGTAAATCAATTACAAAATATAACAGCTACTCAACAACAAAACGTATAGGTCTTGATTAGACAAAGAAGAAGGCAATAACCTATATGAAAATGTTAGCTACCGAGTACTGCTATACGGAAAATTAAGAATTCTGATACAAAGAGCAGTTGTACGATAAGCGGATTGGCATGATTTTCAAGAGTTCGTTGGCCGGATAAGTTCGGAGAGGTCCCCTGCATAATCAACTTAGGAAAAGAGCAAAGCATGGAAAATGAAATTGGAAGAAGTGCATCAGTCGGATCGATGAAAATAACAAATAATAAATAATAATAAAGAGAGGGGTGGGGAAAAGGAGTCGTCGCTCGCAGCATAATTATTCGTGAAGGGGGACGCACTCGGTATCGGTGCAGATCCAGTCACCGTAGTTGGCAGCGCGTTGGGCTTCCTCTTCGAGCTTACCACTGCCATCCATCTCGGTGGACAACCGCTTAGCCTTTTTCTCAGTCATTGCCGTGGACACACACAAGAACGCGCGGGTAAGTTGACGAAATTGCAGTGAGGACTTTCGCTTTCCTGATCGTCCTCACTTTCGTTATCGCCTTGTGCCCCAAGTATCTTCGAGATTTCAGCGCGTCCGCAGTTCCTCAAGCAACAGCGCGGCTGAAGGCGTCGTCCTCGAGCACTAGCAGTCGCCGCATGTTTTCTTTACCGCTCGGTTTGCCTTCTGCTGTATTGACCACCTCCTCGGACGCCGCAGCCGCAGCCACAGCCCCGCTCCGCGTCCACCTCGGACCAGCCGATGCGGAAGACGGGTTTTTGCTTTTGAACCCTCGACCACTGTGCACGACGGGGACACGCGCTTATTACAAATGACAACGTCGCCGAATCGTTCGCTCCTAAACTTGTTCGCTCGCTGCCCCTGCTGGCGTATCTAAAGTCATGATGTTCCGTGATGGGACCACGACGCTTCCACCGCCGCCGTCGCGACACTTGCACGTACGCCGAGCGGTCGATACGACGAGACGCGCCTTACATTTGATTTTACCGAGTGCGAAGCGCATCCTCCTCCTCCTCCCCCAGGTCCTTACTTAATTACTTACTCACTTACTTACCCCCTCCTACTAGCGCCCCTTCCATTCCCCCTCCCGCCGACCGTTAATTAATATCGTTGCGCAGGTCAAGCTAACCCGCTAGTACGTTATTCTCTGCTGACTTGCGGAACTCGTTGATTGCCGAAATTTGTTTCGGCATCCTCTCAGCCATGCCAAAGCCTAAAAAATGAAGGCTCTGGTAAAACGACCTTAGTTATCGGTAAGTGACATCGAAGGTGCGATTTATTGATTTCAACTCAATACTAATAATTATTCTTAGCTAATTACAACAATAGCAACAACAATAATAATCGCAAAAACAATAATAATAATGATAAAACGATTGAAAGAAAATTAACATTTGACACAGACGAACAATTTTTCTATAAATAATTTCTTCGCCATTGTTATATTTTATGATTGAATACAGCAGGCATTGTTGACACCCAATCTATTACAACAATTATAGACTTATGCTCTACGAATCGTAATATAAAGATATAAAAATTATTGTATATGCGTATTCGAATGATTAAGACGTCGTTCGGAAAGAAATAAAATTTTCACATTTGCATGCAAAGATGATTTAATATTCCAAATTGTTTAAAAACTGCTCCATAAGTACTTTATATATTACAATTAACCAAGTGATTTCAGACGAAGCCTTGATAAATAGGGTAATTCCTTCAATTACATATAAGAGGATAAACATTTAACAATTTCAGTATATGTATTTCTGATAGTTAAACAAAATGTCTATTAAATTCAACATTACTTTGATAAATACAATATATTGGTTCTACGAATGATTATAGTATTTTATATAGTTATTTTATATTATTATTTTTTCTATCCGTACAATACTGCACTATAAACGTATATTATATTAATACTTACATAGCAGAATTAATTAATATTTACAAGATTTAGCAACTCATTGTGAATAACATTAACATATTTATTAAATAGTATTAGAATTGTATAGTAATAGCATTAAATAGTAATAGCAAATCATTAGCATAATTTATTATCATTTTCAGCTTGAATTATTATTTTACTTTATATTTATTGGGAAATATATTATACACGAACGTGTAGAGAAAAATTGTAAGGATATCATTATTAATTTCTCAAATTACATTATAAAAGTTACTTATTCTGTAATGTAATTTATACAATGTCTTATATTTCAGATATAAAATTCAAATTAATATAAAAATATCTTATATTTTGTCTGAATATAACAAAGGCATTCAAAATGAAATTCGTGGTATTTTAATTTAAAAATACCAAATTGTTGGTCGAAACCATCAATTTTTAAATGCTACCTTGCAATATCTAGTAAGCTATCTATATACAAAATAATCCATTAAAGTTTATTCTTTGGAATGATCGCATACTAAGATAAAGAGAGGGAGAGAGAGTGAGAGAGAGAGAGCCAGACAGCAGAAAGAGAAATTACATATGCATAATTATATGGATTATATGCAGAACAAATATATATATATATATATGTGTATAAGATATTATATTATATATTTTTAAAATTATATTACAGTTTACATAGGGATATATATAGATAAATATATAGATTAGATAGATAGATAGATAGAGAGAGAGAGAGAGAGAGAGAGAGAGAGAGAGAGAGAAACAAGGGGCGTCGTGAAAGAGAGAGAAAGCATATTTTGTGAAATAAAATATACTCTTAATTGATTGTCGACTTCTTTTTTTAGCAAAACACGTTGATTTTGTTTTAATTTAAAAAACAGACGTGTGATAGAGACATGCAACGCCATCTACGTATAGTTATGTGCGTATTTTTTGCTGCTCAGTAACTGATTAAAATTAAAATTCTTTTATCGATAATTTTTTTGTATTTTTATATTACATGTTTTAAACCAGTCAGAATACGAATTGCTATATTGATCCCCACTTATTATTTAGTAAGAAAATGTAATTACATTATATCCATTCAATGAATTTTAATAATTTATTGTTTGAATTTTACAGGATTATTTTTCATAAATTGTTTTAGAATTATTATATTAAATATTAAAGATCTATAAATAAAATTGAGAAATATATATTTAATAAGATTTTTCTTATGTATTCTTTATATTATTAGTCTTCTTTATGTTTAATTTTATTTTATTCAAATAATACATCACTTTTTAGGTAATTATAAACAGTATAAACAGTTGGATTTTGAATGTACAAACATTACATTATAAAAGTTAATATTGTTGTAGATAGAATTGTGATATTACAAGTAATTGGTCAATTTACCTTCAATGTAATAATATGCTATTTTATTTATTAAAAAATACAACTAATTTCCATAAATACAATATACTGTCGTATAAATAAATAAATAAACGAATAAATAAATACATTTATTAATATCAAACGGCGTAAAATCATGAACATTATATAATGTATAATTCTCATATTATAATAGTTAATTTGCTTAAGAACATTAATCTTATGCTCGATAAATCCAAACATATCAAAATAAAATACACCGATGAAATTGATAAATTATAACAAATCCTACTATTATCAAGTTTTTACGAATTTGTATTTACGTGAATTTCTGTAGTGAAATAACTATAAACCATTTTGGAAAGTAGATTCGGGCTTATTATAATGGCAAATATAGTGAACAAATAATTACAATAATCATGAGTGTATTGCCATTCATTGCATTAAGGATATAAGTATTTTGAATATTTTATTAATTTAAAGAAAATGAGGGATAATGTTCTTCATTATATAGCCAATGGTGCCATCTCTATGAATAGAAATACATAAGCGATTGATTATAAGAGGCAAATAAAGATAAATTCCATAATTATGAATATCAAGAAATTGTTTTTGGTTTTAATGAAAATAAAGATTCTTTCAGTTTTTCGCTCTGGTTCAAAATATTATAAATAGCTACAACTCGAATTAAAAAAATTTTTCAGATTTTTGACATGCTATGTATATATGAGTATACAAGTTTTATTTTTACAAATTCTTATTTATGCATGAATTTACCTTTACGATTTTTTATCTATATATACTTGCTTGTGCGCTAATGGTATTGTATTTCAAGTTACAATATTGGTATTATGTTTAATTAGTAATTTATATTTGTTTAATATAAATACAATGTACTACTATCTACAACTTTGCAATCTTCAAAAGTAAAAAATTGTTGTATTGTTTTTATATCATGTTTATTTATTTAATTCATAGATCCCTAGCATATCTATTTATCGTTCACCAATACAATAAAATTTACGTTACAAATTAATATGTTAAATAATTTAATTTAATAAAAATGTATTTACTATTTAGTACTTAACTATGCAATTATTAGTTTGAAACATTCTTAACTAACAAGTATTATTAAATAAATAATATTTAAGGTTCAAATCCTTATAAACGATAGAACCTGTAATCTATATTTCAAATATAAATTAAAGTATAAATATCTAGTTTTTATTTATTTTTTAGTTAACAGTTGAATAAGAAAGTAAATAAAAATCTAAAGACAAATATAGTCTTATTTGTACATTAAAAATTACTAGTAATACTGTTCTCGCTAATTTTATTAATTCATTTAGGATTGTTTTTACTTGTATGAAATAATATTTGAATGGGGTCAATAGCTTAGCTAATTATGTTTTAAATAATCATACTTAACATCTTTCAAAATTTGTTTTAAAAGAAAATCTAAAGAATTAAAAAAAGAAATCATTATAATAACGTGAAATAATTTTTTTTCTAACATATAAATATACTTGAGTCTTTTAACGCTGGATAATAATAAATATATTTTTTTCTCATTAAGTGGAACAATCACAAGTTTTTATGTAATTACACAATCAATCGAATTCATAATGTGCCACGAATCAAATAATTTGATTTTTATGACACATATAAAGAACGGTATTATGGTAAAATTAAAAAAATATGAAGACACATTTTAATAAAATTGACAACTTTTGTACTTGATTTTTATTTTAATTTTTTTTTTAAATATCAAAATCAATTTATCTTTAAAGTTTATTGAATTAAAAATCTTAAATTCAATATTTTTTACTAGATGTTTTGTAAGAATATGTTAATGATATTTATTAAAGCACTTTGATTATAATATATAATTATAATTTTTAAACTAATATCTTCTATTATAATTGTTTTATAAAAATAATTCATTAAAAAATAATTCATTTTCAGTATTAGCTTAATTATTCGAATTAATTTGATAATTGTTTGCAATTCTTTCTTCATAAAAATTATAATTAGTATCTTTATTATTATTAAATGAAGTAAATTACAAATAGTTAAAAATAATCTTATGAAATAATTAACATATTTAAATTATTATGCATTTTATTACTGATTTTTATAATTCATTCTGGCTCATAAAATCTTAAAATTTGTAAATATTCGATAATGTTTAAAATGAAAAAAATAAAATAATGAAGTAATTTTTTTAGATTTAAGAAATTATTAAAAATAAAATTGTTATGCATTTATTTAAATATAAGATATTGATTGAATAATTAAAGTTTTTATTATTTTACACTACTCTATTACTTTTAATTAATTTTTTTATTTTATGACTAATAGTTCGAACTTATAGTTTATTTTTCTTTCTAAAACATTGATGTTGTAAGAGGATGTTTATCAAAATAATATTAAAATGTATAAATTAGTTTTATAATCTGCTTTTAGAATTTCTTTTCTTTAAATTATATTTATGTAAATTTTACATAGATTTATTTTTATATTTATTTCAAGTTTTTAAAAATAAATTACTTCAGCTAGATTATCTAGTTTTATGTTCTCATTGATTCGTAAAGAATGATACATTACTGTTTTCGTAGTTGAATTGCTTTTCTTTCTTTGAAGTATTCCATAACATTTTTTTTTATTAAGATAAAAGTTAACAAATAAAAATGTCTATAAACTTGTCTATAAAATATACTGCGTTTCAGATTAGTAGTATGATTTTAGTCGTTGATATTATTAATAGTTTAATGAATTGTTGTCATACAAAATTTATTGCAAAATATAACTCTTAAAAAATAATAATAGAGTATTGTTAAAAATTTAATAAAATAAGGTTAATCTCGGAAGAAAAGAGTGGATGAAATAAAATGTTAAAGAAGAATAAGAGAATATTAATTCACAAATTCATATTATAGCCCATAACTTAATTATTTTATTTCATTGATAGTGTAAGATCCACATTGTGCAGAATTTTTAAATTTTATTTTAAAATATTTATTTTTGATACTAATTTATATTAGTATCAATGTATAATAAAAAATGTTCTTATCTTTGTTTAAACTCTTGTAAGATTTTCACCTTATTTATGCCAATACCTGAATATGCGCGTTGATACGGGTGCTCATTACTGAAATATTGGAGGTGAAATATACAGAGATTTATGGCCAAGTCAGTACAATGATAATCAAAGATTATCAAATAATTATCACTTATAATACCTGTATGCGTATGTTTATTTAATCTTTTCAACTTTTTTTAAATTGATATTTAGAAATCGGTATATTCAATTAATTAACATTACTTTTATAACGCATTGAAGACTACTGCACTGACACTTTTGAAATTGCATTTATTCAAATATTAATTATACAAAAATATTGATAATAACATAATTATTATCATATATAATGTAAAAGTATTATAATTAATACGAAAATTCTGCCTATAAGTTTTAAATACTTTTAATATAATACAATTATTTTAAAATCAATATCATGTATTTTTAAATATATTATCAAAATGTGATAAATATATTATCAAATGAAGTTAAAAAAAATAATGTTTTCTATTTGTTCATGGATTCAATTTGAAAAAAATGACATTGAGAAAAACTTACTATACTTGATGCAATTCAAGATATTTACAATATAACTTGTTTTTTTTCAATGAAGTGATAAAACTCATATAATCTTATTTTGAATAATTTTAGAGCTATTCTGATTTATTTTTTTAATGAGTTTAATAGATATTTCTGTAATATGTTTAAAGATTATTTATTCTTTTCATTTTTCTGTAAATAAAGAATAGCTTTAAATCATTTTATTCTTTGAATAAATTATTAAAAAAATTAAGAAAATTGAATTACAACTATATAAAAAAAAATTTCTTTCAAATAATATATATTTATTTGAGTTTTATTTATATAAAACTTAAAATTAAACATAAAATAAATTATTTTTAAATACTAATATTCAATTTAGTTTTTTCTCTATGGATTCGAATCAATCTAGATTTTATCGTTTGTAATGATTTATTCTTTTTTCTTTCTAATAATACTATTTACAATACGTATCATTTGATGTTTTAGTTCGTATACTATCCATTGATTTGTAAATGTCATAACTTATAACTTTGTTATAAAATTTATTGTACCACTGTTAAAATATAAGTTTAATCATTAAATAATATCTTTTATTATGTCAGATATTTAAAAATATATAAATTTACAACTATTAAGCATCTAATGATGAGATATATATTTAAATGCTGATACAATACATATCTGCAAATCTTAAATGATGTGTACTATTTGATTGCATATTAATTTTCTGTAGATTGCAGTGTACACAATTTCAGTTACAATAAATAAAATAATATTTAAAAATTTTCTATTAAGATTCAATTATTAAACGAAAAGTAGTGCGTGTTGTATTTTGGTTGTTAAACATTTTTTCTAGCATAATAAATAATACAGGGAGATAGGTTAGATTAATATTTTAGAAAAAACAGAATTACATAAACAATTAGAGAAAGAAGTAGAGCGATATATGTATTTTAGTCTAAGTATTTTAACCTAAAAAATTCTAATTACGGATACTTAGATTTTTTTAAGTTTATAATACCATTTATAAATAAAAATGCCTACAGTGACTATAAAACGTGATTTACTTTTTAAAGCTCTTGGAAAAACATATAGTAAGTAGTATTAAATTGTTTGCATTTTACAAATTGTAGAAATTTTTTTCATTGATGGATGTATTTATCATTAAGAATATTATTTAATATTTTATTTTTTAAAGCTGATGATGAATTTCAAAAATTATGCTTTTCCTTTGGCCTTGAGTTGGACGAAGTGGTATGTAATTTATGTACATTAAATTGATAAGTAATTTTATATTCAATTTTAATTTTGTATTTCAATAATAATAAACATTCAATTTTATACATTAAAACTTTTACTAAATATATGAAATTATTATAATTAAAACAATATTATTTTATTAATAATTTTGATATAATTATTACCATAACATATTAATCACTAATAATATTTATAATTGTTTCATTTATTAGACAACAGAACAACAAATGATAGCTAAAGAACAAGGAATCGATCATATACAAGAAGGGTCAGATGAAATACTTTATAAAATAGATGTTCCTGCTAATCGTTATGATTTATTGTGTTTAGAAGGTCTAGTAACAGGTCTTTTAGTATTTTTAGGAAAGTAAGTATTGTGATCATTTTAGAAATATACTCATATATATTTTAACTTAACAAATTTAAACGATAGAATACCAATTCCTGTCTATAAAACTGTTAAACCAAAAAATGTAGAAAGGATTGAAATGACAAAGGCGGTAATTAAAAAACTTAAAATTTGTTTTTTCAATACATTAAAATCTTAAAGATAATTCTTGCTTATGTTTTTTTGCATAGTGTTTACAAATAAGAGGACATATTATTGCTGCTATATTACGAGATGTTACTATAACACAAACTGCTTATGATAGTTTTATTGACCTTCAAGATAAATTGCATCAGAATATTGGTAGAAAACGTACTTTGGTATCAATAGGAACACATGATTTAGATACAATTAAAGGCCCATTTATATATGATGCTATGCTACCAAAAAATATTAAATTCAAACCCTTAAATCAAGATAAAGAATATACCGGAGAAGAAATAATGGATCTATATGCAGTACGATTGAGATTCTCTTTATTTATTTAAATTTCCCATATATTATAATTGATTTGTTCTTTTTTGTGTCATAGAATCATTCTCAATTAAAACAATATTTACCTATCATTAAGAACAGCCCGGTTTACCCAATAATTTATGATAAAAATGGAGTTATATTATCATTACCACCGATTGTCAATGGAGATCATTCTAAAATAACTCTCAATACTAAAAATATTTTTATTGAATGTACTGCAACTAATATAACAAAAGTAGTGACCTAAACGATTATTTTAAATAAGGTTCATAAAAAATTTATTACAAAATTTTAAATGTATTTTATTACAGGCAAAAATTGCACTTGATACTTTAGTCTGTGCCTTCAGCAAATATTGTTCTAGAATGCATCAGGTAGAAATTGTCGAAGTAGTTTATCCTAATACTAAGAAGTTTGATAGTCCAGATTTGAAGTACAGAATTGAAAAAATCAATAGTAAACATGCTACAAATTATATTGGAATTAAGTAAATTTATATTTTATATTTATTTTAGCATTGCAAACAACAATATTAATAGTATAATTATTATAATTAATGTGTTATTTTAATTAGTCAATCACCTGAGGAAGTAGCACAACTTCTTACAAAAATGTCTTTACAAACTGAATTGAAAGGCAATGACGAGTTACATGTACAAGTTTCACCTTCAAGACATGATATTATTCATGCATGTGATATTTATGAGGATATTGCAATTGCGTATGGTTATAATAAAATTAAGAAAACTGTGCCAAAAACACCAAGTATTGGAAAGGAAGTATGCAATATATATTATATATTTTTTAATTTTATTTAATTTAATCTTTACATTTTTTATATCATAATTTTTTTTCTTTTTAATGGATTAACATCTTAGCTGCCTCTTAATAAACTTACTGACCAATTACGTGAAGTTATGGCTAGTGCTTGTTTTACAGAAGCTTTAACATTTTCACTGGTATATTTATTTCATTATTATATTAAAACAATATTTAATAATATCTCTGTCAATGCTATTTAAAATAAACTTTTAGTGCTCTAAAGAAGATATTGCTGAAAAACTTGGACATAACATTATGAATTTGCCTGTAGTTCACATTTTAAATCCAAAAACTGCTGAATTTCAAGTAATAAATTTTTGAATATTATTAATTTTTTACAATAATAAATTTGAATTTTTGCATTAAAATGTTTATAGGTTGGAAGGACGACCTTGTTACCCGGTATTTTAAGAACTATTGCAGCAAATCGGAAGTTGCCACTTCCTATAAAATTATTTGAAATTTCTGATGTTATTTTACGAGATACTATGTTAGAAGTTGGAGCTCGTAATGAAAGGCATTTGTGTGTAGTTTATTATAACAAAATTGCCAGATTTGAATTTGTTCATGGAGTTCTTGATAGGATAATGCATGTTCTTAAAGTTTCTTGGAATTACAATAAAGATGATACGGGTTATTATCTAAGATCATTCAAAGGTTAACAGTAATAAATACATTTTCTACTTAATTTCAAATAATTTTATTTATTTTATGGATATTATATCATTTTATAGATTATTATATTTACAAAATAATTAAATAAAATATTTTTAGATCCAACATTTTTTCTTTCTCGTTGCGCAGAAATAGTATCATATGGAAAAGTGATTGGTAAAATTGGAACTCATCATCCTGAAGTGCTTTCTAAATTTGGTTTAAGTATACCTTGTACATCATTCGAAATTAATATTGAACCATTTTTATAAGATGATGAATTATATTAATATTTTTTATTATTATTGTAAATCTTATGTGAATATGAATTAATATATCCTTATTTCCCCTTAATTAATAAAAGTGATATAAATACATTACCAATAACATAAAAAACTATTGTATAAATATGAAAAAGTCTTTCATTAATATAAGATTATAAATTGCTTTATAATGTTTATTTTATTTTAAATTAAATTACATTATGCACATACATATGATTAATAAAAAATATTTTATATATTCATATTATATAATCGTTCATCAGCTAAGCGTTCAATATATATTTTATAACAAAAATTTATAAAAACTAAAATTATTACAACTTCGGAGCATTTGAATTTTTAACACGAATTAGAGTAATAAAAACATTTTTTATTATAAAATATTTTTTTAAATCTGTATGTAAAATATAAAAAATTATACAAATTAATTTGTTAATATGTAAATAAATAATTTGTTTCTTACATAGAAGATTTATGACAGTTTATTTTTCATAAATATACAAAAATTTCTTTATAATAAATTTTTATTTTTATTTAGTTAATATTAAATGTTTTAGTTTATTTCGTATAAAGAATAACTTTTTGAATAGATATTTTTATAATTTATTCTTTTAATATAATAAAACAACTTTAGCTTTAATTATTGAATATCTGTTTCTAAAGTAAGTTTAGGTTTTTGTTGTAAATTTCGATATAGATACATGCATACTATATATTCATCATATTGTATATTTATATAATATGTAATTCATAAATAAATCAACTACAATTTTTAAATATAAATAAACAATTTACCTTTAAAAGTAAAATTTTGTAAAAGTATTTGCATATTCAAATAAGTTATATTTTATTAATTTATCGACATTTAGTAGTATTCTAAAACTAATCTATTAAATTCTTATTTCAAATTTGTAGTTATTTTTATATACAATTATTATAATAGGTTTTTTTCTTTTTATATATAGATTTTTATAATTTAATATATGTACCATCATTTATTAACTAAATTCGAAAATGACTGTGATGGCTATTTTTAAATATGTTAAATAGGATTAAAAAAAATTTACATTTATTAATTCATGACTATGATAATGAAGATTTTATTTTGAAGTATTTCATAAATCGTCTACATATTTAGGACTGTATGCTAAATCAATAGTGTACTACTTTAGTCGTAAAATTTATTGTAAATGTTATAAGTTCCGTTAAATTTGTTGTTTATATTAATTCTAAAATTTATGATAGTTGACTAAGACTTAATGATAAACTCTAATGCGTTTAAATCAAATGAAACTGTATTCTGAACATTTAATTATTTAAATTTAAACTTCAACTTTTTTCAAATCGTCATCAACAGTACATGTTCATAAAGTATACGTTTTTAATTGCATTTTTAACTTGAATTAATAGTCACAATTTTTTTCTCATCCAAATTTTATAAGCTTTTCAATTTCAATAATGTATTTAAAGTCTTGATAATTATAACAAAACACAATTCATCTTACTTTTAACCGATGAATGTTAGGTACAAAATTTTTAATAAATCTTTTAACTAAATATATGCTATTTATGTATAATGTAGATATAATTTTTAGATCTGAATATGGTGACAGAATTTAATAATCCCATTATATGAACCCAATAATCTAGTATAAATGGTAAATGTATCCATTATTTATTTATTTATACATATAATGACTAATTGATATGAAAAATATTCTTTATATCAATTTATGATAAAAGAATAAAAAACGATTTGACTTATTTTATAACAAATATTTATCTTTAAATTTGCAATTATTACAAATTTGTTTTTTTCAAAATAATAAACACGTATCATGATATTATTGTAATAAAATGACTATCATTAACTGATTCTGTATTCTCTCTTAATTAACATTTAATGTTTTCATCACTTCCCATTTAAGATGGATTCAACCTGAATTTAACAAAATTGATAAAACTCCATTCTCGTATTTACTCTCATTTTCCTTCCATTATTGAGCATTTCATACTTAAATTTGATTCTAGTTTTAATATTTACCTTCATTGTAGCCTTCTTTTCCCGTTATTACCTTGTAATTTTGTTCTTTTTAAAACTCAATTTAGAGGTTTAAGACACATATTTAGAATTTTACACTGGAGATTACAGAAAATATATATTTAATTTATATTTAAAATATAATCAAATAAATCTTAATAGTAACATAATACCTTATTATTTGTGCTGAGTATTACAAAACTTACGAAAAAGATTTTCTTGGTGAGATATTATTTAAATAATCGCATCTATTCATGTTAATCTATATAAATATGTAGTATCTGTAAAAAATTAATTAAAAAATTAACATTTTTACAATTTATTCAGCTAACTATTTTTATCCTCTGGATTAAAATAATGCATATAAATTATAATTAAATCTTTATATCAATTTATAAATATTTGACATAACTAATTATTTAAACATATATGTTATAAATAATTTAAATTTCATTTCATATAATAATGCTCTGTATTAAATAAAAAAATTAATGACATAAATTAAATGGTTCAATTTCAAGATATTTTAAGATCATTTGCCATGAATTATTAACACAATGTGCTTTACATATGTAAATACCCAATCGGTATAAATAATGTAAAACATGTAATTATTAAGAATAAGAATTTATTAATAAAAAATTTGAATAATTTTTTAATATCCAACATTAATAGTAGTAAACAATATGTATTCATTAATAATCATTTCATTTATTTATAGCTTATAGTTATAATATAACCATGTATATTATATCCATTGTTTTTATCAGAATCAAGAAATGTACATTTCAAATTTTATTTCACTGTTAAGGTATCATTTTAATCTTATTTTCCAACTCAATATTTTACTGTTCCAGATCCAAATTAAAAAAAAATGTGTATATAGAAACCAATTAGCAAAAAAGTCATTCTCTTAATTTTCATTAAAGCTTTATATTTCATGCAAACTTTTGTTAATTATTTATATTATAAATAGAAATTATAGGTAAAGGTATATATTCAGGTATATAATAAAAGTTTATCAACATATTTAATAATTATTTAAAACATATTTAATAATTATGAAGATCAAAATTTAATAGTGTTTATTATATTTTCTTCATAAAAGAATTTAAACAAATTTAATAGAAGTTAAATTATTATTAGAATATTTAATTTTTCAAAAATTGTCGTGATATATTTTTTTTTTGCAAATCTATTAATAATAAAGTCCATTCTCTTAATTTCATATTCAAAGTTTAATATTCAATAATTACTGAAATACTGTCATAAATACTATACAAATAATATAAGTATTCAAAGCTCCGAAAACTTCCTTAAAATAAATTTTGTTGTAAGAACATATTACCAATAATTTCAATTGTTTTGTATTTAATATGTTTAGTATTGGTCTTTTAATTATCATAAATTAATTTTTTTTTTTAAAAAGTTAACATTTTCAAATTCTGTAAACTAATTTTTAATGAATCTAATTTACCATATTTATCTTTCATTTACTAATTAAAATCCAAAGCAAATTATAGTCTTACTTTTAAATGAAGTTGTCCTCATTTATTAATATTAAAATTAATTTTGTATTGAATTTGTATTGGAAGCTTTTTCACGATAGAAAACATTTGTTATTAATAAATTTTTATTATATTATCTTTACAAAACCACAATTTTGATTATTTTTATAAACTCATTTTGTTATAAATTATTAATAACATTTACTGTTTTAAATAATTCTGTCTTAAAACAGACGTGTAATTATAAATAATCTTTTTCTATTTTTTTTATTAAAAATATCGGTTTTAATTATTTTTATTGTATAAAAAGTGAAAACGACTAACTTTGCTAAAAATAATAGACAAAATTTAAAATAGATATTTTACTTGTTAAATAAATAAAATTAATCTGTACATTTTCTTTTAAAAATAATAACTAAAATAAATTACTCACGTGTATTATAAATAAAAAATATTATTTTATACATTGATTTTAATAATAAATGTTAATCAAATAGTTTTGTAATTTACATAAAATAAAAACATATAATTTTGTAAGTGAAATAATTTTAATATTGTAAACAATATATTTATTTTATATGCAATTTAAATAAACAAAGTACTATTTACAAAATAATGATAGTTATATTAAAATTATAAAGACAGAAACATATTTGTTTGATCAATTATTTCCTTAGCAACAGTAAAATTAAGATACTGTATTTACAATAGATCACATGGGTATTGATTAATTATTGTTAATATTATGTTATATTTTGTTGTTAGTGTACTTATAACCTTTTGTAAAAAGTGATGGAAATTTAAAGTTTTTTTTTGTTAATATAAACAAATTATTTTAATTGTCAAAATATTACTAAATTAAAATTTTTAAAAATGTATCCAAATTTATTCAAGCACTTGGATTTATCGAAACTTTGTAATGATGTATCAAAACCTATTGATTTATCACTAATCGAAGGTATTTATATATAATTTTTGTTACATAATGAAGAAATATAATTTTTATACAATTAAAATCCTCATTATTAATAAAAAATCGTGTAATAATCAAATAAAAATGTACCAGAGAAAGCATTATGCCTCGACGAAGAAGAAAAATATCCAGAACTGTCAGTAAAAATGTTTTTTGATTTTATGAAAACCGCTTATCAAGTAAATGAAACTTTTGAAGAATTAGCTAGTACCTTATCAGCAAATAGTGAAATTGACTGGGCGACGCTTGTTAAAGTTTCGTTAAATTTAAAAGAAACAGAGTACGAGGCAAAATCAGAAAATGTCATAAAAGAATATAAAAAATTACAAACTACTTGTCTAAGGGTATCTTTTTAGAATATCAATCTCAATATTCTTATTTTTGTTTTTTTTTTATAACTTCTATTTTTATTAGGAGCCAAATAATCTAAATTTAGCTTCAGAAGCAGAAGCGATTCCTATTAATGTGCAGGAGTCAGAAAGTTTAATTACACCATTAGGAGACAGAAGCAATCAATTTTTAAATATTAAAACTTCAAATAAAAATAATGTGTATAAATCAAAAAGTTTAACAACAATAGAATCTGCACAAATAAAAAAAGAATATTTACTAACAAAAGTTATGAAAAGATGTTTAAGCGATGTTCTTCATGAAGGTTTATTAGATTCAGTTCTTCCATATATGATTCCTAAGCATGTACTCTCACAACCTACTATAAAAAAGTCTTTAATTATGGATTCTAAAAAATCATCCTTTATCTCTAATGATATGGACAGTTGTATAATTAATGCAATAACTGGTAACAAAGAAAAAGATAAAGATAAAAATAAACAAAAGAACAGCATTGAGTAAGTAACAATTTAATATTTTTTAAATTAAAATTACAATAAGATTATGAAATTTATTAATTTATTTTATAATATAGAACTGAAGTAGAAATCCATGTATGCGATGAAGTAAAGAATATCAAGAAGAATTTTCGTTGTCCTCAAAGATTATTAATACAGAAAATGTGTTATTTTGCTGATGTTACAACTGGTCAGAAATTAGAAGAAATGGATATTTCTGTACATTGTGATGTTGTTATTTTTGATTGGCTTATGAGATGGGTTAAAAAAGACATTATTAAAACATCGGAATGGCCAGTTCTCGAAGCACATAATGTTATTCCTATTATGGTATCTGCATCTTTTCTTCAAATGTATCCATTATTAGAAAGCTGCCTAATATATTGTCACATTAATATGTCAGAAATTTTGAAAACTACTACAATTTTAACCTGTTTAAATGATAATTTGTTAACAAAATTAGCAGATCTGTATACTAATATAGACGTAGAAACCATAAAAGATAAAAAGGACAAAATTCAAAGTCGTTTATTTTGTAAATTAATTATGTCATTATCTAATTCAAAACCAGATAATAAAAAAGGGCATTTTGATTCATTAGCTACATTTTTTAAATGTGTAAAGTGTGAAAAAAATGTAGTTTCTTCTGTTTCAAATTTAATCCCCTGTATACCTAGTAATATGAGAATTGATATTAAAGGAAATCTTCACAGTAAACATACTAGGTACAACTAATTTTTATAATAAAATATATATCTTGTTAAAATAAGAAAATTTATAAACTTTTTTTTTATTAGAGATATGACATGGAATTTAAATAATTATATTATTAATCTGCGAGCCGAATTACGCTCGTGGCGTAAAATTTATTGGAGACTTTGGGGTGATTGTCATTTTCTTTTTTGTCGACAGTGTGGAATTTATTTTCCCATTAATCAGATGGATTGGTGCTCTTATCATCCTGAAAATCCACAATTCTTTATAAATGAACAACAAAAAATACTGCCTTTACCTTTAGGAAGATACCCGTGTTGCAGTCAAAGAGCTTATAAATTTCAAATCATAACTAATAAAAATGGCTGCAAATTTCGAGTGAGTTTTTTTACAAAACTTATAATTTTTCGATTTAATAATTTTCGTTTTTTAGGAACATGTTCCAGAGATAATTTCGGAAAAGGATGAAAATATTATCAATATTTTTCTTGCATATAGAGAAATTATATCTATCGCAGTTCCACAGTTATTTTTTCCAGAAAAAATTACACGATTATTAACCCATGATCCTTTACTTCCACCCGGCAAATTATGGTGCAAAGAAACATTTTGGTGGGAAGGAATTGAAATTATACCGCCTAGACCAAAATTTGGCCTTCTCGGTATACAAATATTTAATACATTTAAATTCTTAAAAAACAAATTAATTTGTTATATATTTTTTATACTAGCAAAAATTTGGGGTGGATCAGGTCTTCACAAATCGTATCATATATCTTCACAAAAAATGGTTAAAAAAATACATCAAAGATCTTTAGCTGATGTTTCTTCTATATCTTCAGAATTTTTGAGTGATGAAGATGAAAAAAGTCAAGATGAAAACAGTAGCATCGATGAAGAATCTATTGAAAGTGAAGAATTTTGCGATTGTGAATCTACTGATGTTTCAATTAAAAAAAATAAAACAAAATTTAATATTCTTAAAACGTAGTTATTTTCAAATTCAAAATATATTAATTTTCCTTCTTTAATATAATAATAAATTATTTTATAGATGTGAAGGAATGGGAGCATGGAGTCCAAATTTAACTATCAGATATAACCAAGACAACCAAAGAGATTTTGAAGAGAAAGCAGCAGTACAAATGATAGCATTATTATCTAAAAGAGCTATGTTAGAATTGAATTTACATTTAAAAACTCATTCCTCTGGAAAACATAGTACTTGGAATAATAGTACACATCCAATTGGTATAATTTTATAACAATTAAGGCCATTCATCGATACTTGTACATCATTTATCTATGTATTTATTATTACCTAGGAGGATCATATGTACAAGTAGAGGTTGAATTTTTTAATCAAATAGCTCAAAATAGTAAGTGTAAAAATAATGTATCAGTTAAAGGTTCAACAAGATTCAAAACATCAAAGTAATTATTAAAATTCAACTTAAAAAATAATTTTTTAATAAGACCAAAAAACCAACAAAATTATACTGTAAACATATTTTTATTGATTCTTTTGATCTTACAGATAAAATTATAAAATTTATTAAATTTAGAATTTCATCCTATGTGGGTATTGACTGCTTCGTAATCCAAACATAGTTGCAAGATATGCAAAGAGCATTTTTCTATCCTTGCTTTTCTTGATAGCATCAATAACAAGTTTATCAACAACTTTCTGATCAATTTTTCTTTGATCACTTGGCTTGTATTCTCCCTTCTTTACAGCAAAGATGTCACCTTCTTCTTTCTTAGCACGTTTGTCACGTTTCCTTTTAAAGTATTTATCATTGATGTGTTTTGGCAGTATCAAATTTAAATTAATTTTTGTGGACGTAGCAATAACATAAATCTGATTGATTCTTCTTAATGGACAAGCATTGATAAGGAAGGGTCCTTATGGAAAAATATTTAAAATAAATATAAGTAATATATAAACAATTAATATCTATATTTCAGAAAATTATAAGCAACTAATAAATATTTAATATTTAAATTTATGTGAATTTAATAAGTTATTGGAAAATTGATACTGATTTTCATATAAATTACTATGGACATGCATTTGTAATTTTTTGATGTTTAAAGTTTCTATAAAATAAAATGAAAACTTATTTGCAAATTCATTTACTAATTATATTGTGTATTATACTAGATATTCATTATAATAGAATGGAATGTGTTTAATTTTAATAACATTGAATCATATAAGTTAAATGTAAAAAAAATTTTTGTATAAATTTTTATTAAAAATTTTATTAATTTTATTTATTATACCTGTGATGAGAAGTAAACCACTTTTCAATTGCTTTAACAGAACAACACGCTTGCCCTTATGAGGACCAGCTAAAATGATAAGAACTGTTCCTGGTTTTAATGTTGGTCTTAAATATCTAGTGTGATCTTTAAAACATTTTTTAGCTGGACGAGGTTTTATACGATTTATAGTAGGATAGTTTGCCCTTCTTTTTTTTAACAAAACGGTTCTAGTTTTTCCATTTTTGTCTCCATCTATGTTCTTTACAATAGTTACAGGACTTTTAGGAGCTTCCTGTAAAAATTTAATTTGCCCAACTTAGTTAAAAATTATATATAAATAAAAGTAAAAAATTATTTTAAATGTGTATATCATAATTTACCTTCTTAGGTGTTTTCTTGTTAATGAATTTATAAATAGCTTTTTTATGGTACATACGACTCCGACTAAACCTGTATATTCCATTTCCCAAATCATAATTTCTTGGCTTATTTAATCTTTTCTTTTTCTCTTTAAGATTAACTTTCTTAAGAGCAGCAGCTACTTTTGGAATAGGTGCACTAGCTGTTTTAGCTGCAGCAGTTGCTTTGGCTGTTGCAGCTACCTTAGGTGCGGCAGCTACTTTAGGAGTAGGTACCTTTGTTGGCGTAGTCTTAGGGTTGTTATCCGACATCTGCAAATATCATTTTAATTAATTAAAAAATTTGTTATTGTCGTCAAAATGTGCATATAGTTATTGGTTATGCGTATTATTAAAAATATTTTGATGAGTACTAATCGCACAATTGAATAACAGATAATTAAGAAAATGTAAGACAAGCAAGTTTAAAATATTAAGAATATATGTTAAAAGAAATATTTAAAAGAAAAAAGAAGAAAAGAAAAGTTTAAAAGTCCATCACTGTAGATGTCAACATGTTATAATAAAAACTTGTAATAGACTTGTAAACTTAAATTCTATAAAAACTATTCAATCAAACATGAAGTGTAAAAATTAAACAATCATTATTGTTTAATATTTAATATGTTAAAAAAGTTTAATTGAAGGATTACAACGATTACTTTTTCATGTACAGTACAATTATATAACTTACCACGAGTCAATAGTTGAAAGAGTCTCCCTCGGGCGATCGATTTTAGAAGTTAAGCGTGTAGGTTATTTCTTTTACACCTTGACCAATTAGAAGAGGGAAAGGAGAAAGAGAGAGAGAGAGAGAGAGACAGAGAAATTAATTATATATAGGGTAAAATTTGAAAAATTGTTTTTACTAAAATTTCATACTTTTAATAATTGCAATACGCAGCTATCGGTTTATAAATATTAAAATAGTTTCTTCGAACATATTTTTTATTTTATATTTTTCTTGATCGTAATATCATATATATATTTTTATTTTTTCATTAACTGATTTTGAAAACAATGACAACAATTATAACAAATAAATAAAAATTAATGATAATGAATTATAATTATTAATATATATAAAAGTCTATAATTTGGCAAATATGAAATATATAAAAAAATGCTTAATATAAAGTATTGCTTATCATTTATTTTTATCTTATTATACTTGATGAAATTTTATTAAATTGAATTTTTATTATGAAAACTAAGTGTTAATTTATTTATAAACAATAAGAAACATAAAATTGGAAATTGGAAAATAGCAAAGTAAATCTATTATTCTTCTATATTTCTTCTACATAATAATGTCGTAAAGGACCAACCAAACGTTGTTTTAGTGCTAGAAATTATAAAAACAATTCAAAATCATTAAACAGCTCTTTATTAAAGTTTTATAATGGAATTTTTGGTTTTTTAGTTACATTTTACGTTTGAGTAAATATTGTTTTACAGTTGTACAGGTGTTGATCTGGTATAAACATTAATGTCGATAGCGTAGTAAATTATATTATAATTGTATTAATGCACACCACATCAAAATATTTTTATAAATTTTGTTAGTTACACAATGCTTAGTAAGACTGTTTATATTAATATATTATTAAAATTAAACTATGCTAACATTTCGTAAAAATTAAAATTAATATACAAGATTTAAGAATTTATAGCTTTTTAATAAATTTAATAAATTTAATTTATTCAGTTTCCCAAGCTGTTTTGGAATTAAAATTGAAATTTTCAAAATGCAACCTGAAAATAAATCAAATTAATTTTTAAATATTTATATTTTCAATATATTAAGAATTTTAATATATTTTAATGACTTGAAATACATAGAATTTTATTTTGAACATTAAAAATATGAATCATTAAAATTATTATAATTATTACTTTAATTCTAAAGAAAATGCATTAATAGAAAAATTCAATAATTATTTTCAAATAATGATTCTATCAAGAAAATTATCCTGTAAAAATTGTTCATTTAAAAAATCTAGTGCAATTAAATAAAATAAATTAGAAGATAATTATATCACAGCTTAACAACCAATATATTGATAATATTTTTCTTCCAAAATTAAACTGGAATGAATCACTAGTACCTATTGATAATGTTGACAATACAATTTATTCAGTGCAAGGAAATTAAGCGGGTAACTAAAATAAATTTTTCCTTCATACTTAATACCTTAAATCTGTCTCGCTACAATGAGAAAATAATAAAAATATTATTTTGTTATTTTAAAACCTGCAATTAACACACATTGTAAATACAACCACATATATTATTGAACGTATTTTATTAAAAATTTAAAAGTTATTACTTTTAATTTATACTAGTTTTATAAAGTTTTTTATTAATAAATTCTCCAGTAGTAATTAAATACAAAATTAATCAATAACAAATTTTGATTTTCATTATGAGCTTATAGTATAGTATAAGAATGCATTTGCACATGCATGTGTACATGATAATGAAAGTAATATTTGTATTGAATTTGGTTTGAATTCATAATTACAAAGTGATAATGTATTTATATATAGTTTCTTCATCAAATTCTGAGGTATTTTTTGATTTTATATTAAATTTAGAAGTGTTTAACTATTGGCGATCTGTTTTTCATTTTTATTCTATTTTTAGAATGTTTTAGCTCTGGAAGTAAAAAGCTGCTCTGATTTTGAACAATTAGCAGATTAACGATGAATCAACAAATAGTTTAAAGAATAATATGTATAAAATTCAATTTTAAACTTGTGTAGGAAGCCAAGTAGCAAGATTTTGTTTTAATATTTCTACTTATATTATGAGCTCAATAAATATAAGTGTATATACCTAATTTTAATAAGGAGTTATTGACTAAGGATATAAAAAATCAAATTTTATGCATGGAAATATAACATGGTCCAAACTTACAGCACTTTAAGTCAAGAGGACAATAATATTTAGTATTGCAGTTAAAGCTATTATTTTCATAATTGTTGATCTTTATTTTTTATTTGTTTTTATTATATTTCATAAAACATTGATAACAATTTATTATATAAAGTAATAAAAGCATCTTATTTAAATTAAAAGAATCAATTAAAGTATATGAAATATATATTAAAGTTCATTGATTATAAGATTTTATATTTAACAAATTATCTTACAAAATTATACAGTTAAAAATTTTTTAAGCATTTTAAATTTAATAGAAATTTTTACTTATAAATTAATATTTTATAAATTATAAAATTGTATTTATTATTTTAATGTGAATTAGTTTGAAGACAAGTGGTAACGTAATAACATTAGACTAGCAACAAATGTAAGATTCAAAAAACTTTTTCTTAATGTGCACGAAGAATTTGAAAAGTGACATGTTCATAAGTGGAAAAATAACATACATATATTGTCGTTAATATTATAATCAATGATAATAAATGTCAAATTTGCAATAGAAAAGTCAGCTGATGCTGAAACATTTCTATATGCAATATTTGTATAGAAATATTAAAAATTGGTGTGCAATCTTTGTTTTATTTAGTTTATTTATGTATTTTAGTTGGCTTAAATAACACTTCTAAATTATGGTTTACTGTTTATCCATTTGATTAATTTATGATTAATAAATGATTTAAGCATTATTCATTAGCTTATAAATACATATTTTTATTTAAATATGACTGTAAAAGTTATTCATTCATTATTTTATTTGGGATATTAAAAAATAGGTACTTTATAAATTAACATATAATTTGCTCGTACTTTATTGAGTGCATAAAAATTGTATATTTTAAATATTTCTCTATTTAGTGATTATTTTAATCACTTAAATTTTTTTGTATTCAAAAAAAAAAGAAAAAAAGAGGAAAAGGATAATAAATAAGAAGAACATTATTGCATTATAATTTAGTCTTTAATTAAATTTTTATATTTTATTTAGATTTAAATGTTTTTAAAATATTTTCTGATTTTAATAAATATAAAATTTAAATTAAAATTTTTAGAAAGCTTAAAAATCAAAAAATGTATTAAAACTGTAAATTACTAAAATATGTCATTCAGTTCAAAAGACATTAAATATTTTTAAATTTTAAATAGAATGCAAAAATTTATATTATGTTTATAATAAAAACAATACATTAATTAAAATTATATCTATTTAAGTAAACTTCAGATTATTAATGAATAAAATAATATAAAAGATTAAAATAGTTACAAACTGTACAATAATATTTACACTAATTAAAAAATAGTCTTCAAGCAATATTGAATAGCATTACATTTCAAATTCATCTATCATTTAATTTTATAGGAATATTTTTATTTGCAAATTACTAATCTCAGGAAATATAGTGTAGTTTAAACTTAATCAATAATATTTATTATGACAGTATCTGTGATATTTAACATTTTTTCATTTTTATTACTTTCCAGAAAATAACTTGTAATTATTATTAAAGTTGGAGTCTTACATTAAAAACTATTTAAAAAAAAACACTTTCATTTTATTTATATTAATTAATTTGTATTGAAAATAATTTTAAAAATACAATTTTTACAATTAAATAATTGAATGATGATAATTGAAATAAGTAATAATAAAAAAGTTTTTAAATATGTAAATTTTAATATATTTATGAAAAAATTGTAATCGCAAAATTGTATTCTAAAGCAAAATTTCATTCAAATTTAGTCTTTAGTGCAAATATAAACTGTACAGAAGCATAACAAAAAATAATTTTTTAGATTAGAAAATTAGAAAAATTAGAAAAACAACGATTAGAAAATATTAAATTCTTGAATTTCATTTAATGTACGATAAATATTTTGTATACCGATTTACTTATCAAGTCAACTTTTCTTATATAATTTTAGCAAATTTAAATTAATGATTTTCACAGCAAATATATATTTTAGAACTGATTGATTTTTTCTTTAACGTTTCTTTAAGCAATTAAAATTGATCCTGTACTTTTATATATAGCAACGATTTAGATAATTGTAATAAATAAATTAATAATATTACAATAGCAAAAAATGAATTCTAAATCAGAATTTTTATAATTTGTGTTTGCCGTGTCTCTTTATTATAGCTATATTCATTATCGCTTTCTTTTAATAATTATTGTTTGTCACTGTTGTTTGAATCATAATTCAATAAGTATTAAAAGAAGATTCTGTGCATTGATTATAAATTAACTTATTTTCTAATTATCGAAAATAATATGAAATGTCAACATATAATAAAAAATAAATGCATATAATAACGAAAATTGATTATAAAAAATTATTATAAAATAATTAACCACAGTTAGAATTCGTGGTTACTAAAATATTTGAATTAATGAAAAATGTTGTTTGATAAGAAGACTAGAATTATTTGTCATTTATTTGTTATTAACGGCGACGAGAATTAAAAAAATTTCTTTTCGAAGCAACTATCATTTCGAATGAAGTGCCATCTAATATTTAAGCTATTTTTTTTTAAGAAAACTGAAAAGAAAACTTAATTATAGAAAACAACATATCAGCTCTTTTCAAGAACATTTATACAAACATTTTGAAATATGAAATTTATATTTTTTTTGTATTATATTTCTTTATTTTTTAGTCAATTTACCCATTTTAATTTTATATATATTTATATAAAATGCTTTTGCAAAATAGTATAATATTACCTTGAAATAAGTATGTTAAAAATATTGTTATGTTACTCTTGTATATTTTTATAATATGCATAAATGCAATATAAATATAAATTAGAATGCAATATAAATTAGAAGAGAAATATAAAAATGTAAATTATTACTGTTATAGTTTTTCTAGGTGTAAAATTTAACATTTTTTAGTCATTTCATGGAATAAAATGGAATAGACAAATAGCAATAATAAAAACAATATTAGGAAAAAGAAAATTTATTCATAAATAAAACATCCTATATGTACTATATATCCTATATGTGTTTATAAACTTAGTATTAATTAAATAGAAAAAATAAGATTTTTCAATTTTAGTTATTTGTTTTCCTTCAATTGAATATATTCATTTATTAATATAAAAAATTAAAATATAATGTTTTAGTTACAACAAAACTAAACTATTAAATTTATTACTGTTACTACAAATATATTTGAACCGTTTACGATATCTTTTTTTAAAATTTTGTAAAAATGTTAGTTTAAAGCTTTCAATTTTTTCACATTTTTGTATTTGTAGAAATATTCTACTAGAAAAATACTATTCATAGCATTATTTTTGCTTGATTTTATTGTCAAAAATTGCTCTTTAAATTAACTGATTTTTAAAGTTCTTTTTATTAAATTTATTCTTAATAACATTAAGATTATTTATTATATTTGAATTATAATTATTATATATTTGTTAAATAACTGTTTAATGCAAATAAATTAATTTTTTTATTTTTTGATACGTTATAAAATAGACAACTGTAATAACATCGATAATATCAAAGCTTACAGCTAATAATTAGTAAATTCACGAATTAATCTTTGTAAATACATAATAATTGATATAGCTGTATAAAAAATAAAATTACAGCAAACCAAATGGCAAAGAAAATTAACGTATATATTCAAGTCATCAATAATTTTTAATAAAATAACGTTATAGTTAAGCCAATAAAAGTTAACCACATTTAATTTGTTTGGCCTCAGAATCGATTAAGATGATTGCCCTTTTAAAAAGGGACAATTTCATTTTCAATAAGTAAAGATAATGTCGAATGCAATATTTGTGCATCATTCGCGTGGTCTAAATTGTTTCTTTACTCAACTACATTTTTGGTTAATTATATTTTTTGATTGTCATTAATTTAAAAAAATGTCAGAAAACGTGAGTCCTATTAAATATTTTTTGAGCGGTGGCTTCGGGGGTGTTTGCACCATTCTTGCTGGACACCCTCTTGATACAATAAAAGTAAGGTTATGATATTTTTTATTTATTAAATTTTGTTGACATGCTTATCATATATATATATATATATATATATGCATATACAGTCCGTTTCAGTAGTAATTGAGTGATACACTATTTATTATTTTTAAATATTTTATTCGTAGGTTCGACTTCAGACTATGCCCTTTGTTGGATTTAATGAAATACCATTGTATGCTGGCACATGGGACTGTGCAAAAAAAACTGTTTCAAAAGAAGGATTCCGAGGTTTTTACAAAGGTGATTTTTTATTTATTTTACAGATTATTTTATGGTATTATTATTATTAATCGAATTTATTATCATATAAATATTATTATATTATTTATTGATTTTCTTTTATTTTATATAGGGATGGGTGCTCCACTTGTTGGTGTTGCTCCAATATTTGCGATGAGCTTTCTAGGATTTGGAATAGGAAAACGATTGCAACAAAATGATCCTAATGAGAAGCTTTCAGAGTTGCAGCTATTTTATGCAGGTGCTTTTAGTGGCATATTTACAACAATTATTATGGCTCCAGGAGAACGAATTAAATGTCTTTTACAAATACAGCATGTAGATACAATACCAAAATATAAAGGTTCGATTGATTGTGTTAAAAAACTGTATGCAGAAGGTGGATTGAAGAGTGTGTTTAAAGGATCTTGTGCAACATTATTAAGAGGTAAACAAATCGACTGTCTTTATTTGAAATCATGTATGCTTATAAGTTACAATAAGTTTATTATTCAATATGATATTCAATATCATATCATTTCAATATGAAAATTTATTTTAGCTAACTGATTATGTTGTTATCATCTCTAATTTCAATTGTAGTATGTTTTTTTCGAAGTCTGTGTTTTGGCCATTTGCATTTCAAACCACCTTTACGAAGTACATAAAATACACCCCAATTTCTTAAATATTTAGGAGTAAAACATCGTGGTGTAATTTCTTTGACTCTATTTACCTATTTGAAAATAAAATGTTTTGTTGTTTATTATAACTACACAAATAGTAAATTACAAATTATAACTACTCAAATAGAAATATTAGTGTACCAAATGAGGATTCCATATTGTCATATCACAGTTACAGTCCCAAGGATTTCCATCTAATCTTATATTTTGTACCTCAAACTGTTTGTTTGGTAAGCGTAAACTTTGGAAAAAATCTGGCGGCAACTTCAATAGTTTATTTTTACTGAGAATTATTTCTTTGAGCTTTTTTTGCTGTTGTACTGAAAATAATCCTGACGGGATATAGTCCAAATCGTTATAAGAAAGATCAATACGTTTAACATTTTGTAGTCCATAGAAAGCATCCATTGATATCCTTGAAATACGACAATGACCTAAATCTAAGTCAATAATATTATTAAGATCAATAAATGCATCAAATTCAATACTAGATATATTTCCTCTTAATTTCAATTTGATTAATGACGGTATTCCTTGAAAAATAAATCGTCGTAAAATTGGAATTTCTATATTATAAATGTGAAGTACTTCTAAATTTTTTAGTCCCAAAAATGCATTTTCTTCTAATTTTAATTTTTCACCATTACCACCTAGATCTAATCGAATAGTTTTATTCATTATCTCGAATGTACTGAAAAATACGAATTATAGTGATAATATTAATATCGATTTAAGTATTAACTTTATTTAGTAAAATTTAAATTTGTTATATAATAAATTTAATATTAAATTTTAATAAATATATTATTTTAAATAATAATATTGAAATATGTAAGTTTTTACTTTTACAGAATTTATTGAAAATTAATGGAAATCAAAGTTCACATCAAGTTTGAATAAATACATTATTTAAAGTATTAAAATAAATAATTGAATACTATTGTAACAATGTTTTTTTATAATTATTATTTATAATAACATTATAATTATTTTATTATTTAGTCTATTGATGACTATATGTTATTATAGATTTTTTAATTGAAATATTAATTATTCTTTTTATATATAAATATCTGCATTTTCAAAGATGATATAGAAGTATTTATTGGATCTTTGTTGTAATTCTATTCCATTTTATTTATATCGATGTTAAATTATTTTTATATTATACATAATGTATTTTTACATAATATGTCTATTCTATAATATATATCTATATCTATAATAATTCTACAATATATAAGAAATATAGTGCATTTCGTTTTTTTTCTATATAAAAAGTATAGAATTATAAAAAAGAAAGTATTTAATAATTTATTATTTGAATAATGTCAACAAGATACCTTGGAAAAATTGTATCTAAAGGATTTTCACGAAAGTCAGCTGATAAAAGTGCTGGAAATGGAGGAAATGATAATTCGGATAAGAAAGTCAAATTATTGCCACTCAAATCAATCTTCTCAAGAAGTAACAATCCAGCTAGATCTATGCTTGTTAAAGTCAACAATTGATTTTTGGCCAATGACAAGAGTTTTAAATTTGGAGTTCCATAAAAACAAAATTCAGGAATAAATTTCAAATCGTTTTTTTGTAAAGATAAATACTGCAAACGATTAAGTCCATCAAACATATGCCAAGAAATTTCCTTCAAGGCACAATCGTATACTCTAAGATGAGTTAAAACTTTTAAACCAGTAAATAAACTTGTAGATTCTCGATAACCTTCCATCTCTTGTTTATAAATATCATATGGTAAAATTTCCTTATCATCATTATTACTGTTCACTTGTTGACTCAAAAAAATTAATCTATGGCCAGTTTGATTTCTATTATTTATATCGAATTCATTCTTTGGTGGATTTATAGGCTTAACAATAAGATTTGCTTTACTTTTATCTGTGGTACTTAATCTAGTTAATGTTACACGTTCCAGATTTAAGTAAAGTAATGTTGTTGCAAGTGGAAGAAGTGTGTCTGCTGATAAAATGATTCCTATTCTATTACTTTTATTTCTTGCAATATGGTTAATTTTTAAGGGATCTCTGTTTTCTATTCCTTGAATATCTAATGATATTAATTCTGTGAAATGTTGCATATCACTTGATTGCAAAACTATTTCTGTATTTCCAGATCCAGATTCTAAAATAGTAAAAATCTGAAAAACGATTAAAATTATCCAAAAATAAAAAAAAATTTTATTTTTTCTATGTATAGATTATATATTATATGTGTTGTACAAAAAAGTAATTAAATTGTACTTGTAAGTCTCTGGGTAATATGGACAATAAATTTTTTGGATTTTCTGAAACTATGCATGTTGCAACTTTTAAAAGTTCATTAGCTATTGAATGTTCATCATTGTTATGACCGAATGAAGTACTCTGAAAATTATATTTACACAATTACCTATTTAGTATGTTTAAAAAAATTTCTACATATATAAATATATAGATCATCGTTTATAAATCTAAATTGGTTAAACATTAAAGAATTTTTAAATGGAATATTTTTTATTTTATATTCAAATATATATAACTGATTTATAATTACTATAACGTAATAATTACAAAGGCAAGTTTCTCCTTATTTATTTTTTATAATCATTTAAATTCTATAATTATCCTGTATTCAAATATTAAATTAAGTTCTAGATATTGCAGCTATTTTGATTAGTCTTCATTTCACATTGTTGTTTTTATTATATACTATGTTTATTAATAAACTTAATGTAAAATTAAAAAATTGTATTTAATAATAATTAATATAATTATTATATAACTATAATTGCCTTATAATTCTTATATTATGTATTCCAACTTATAATTTTTTATAAAATTTATATTATTAAATTAAAATAAAATTATTATGTATGTTATTTATAAAAATTATACACAGAAGATTTTAAAAGTCTAAATATACATTAAATTTTTCTTATATAAAAGTAGTATTGATTGCATTATCAAAAATTTTATTTTAATGAAAGTATTTGTTACATTTTATTGTATTGTGTATTCTGTTTTTATTATATAAAAATCCTTCTATATTTATTTTATAAACAGTTTATTTAAATACGAATATTTATACTTTGAAATCATTAGTAGAATTGATCCATTGATGTAATGGTAGATCTGCATATCGAAGAAATTCACAGGAACATTCAGGTGGGCATTTGATTTCCCAAACACCACTAATATCAATAATGTTTGCTGTATACTGATCCTAAATAATTTTATAAATTAATTTTTATTTTATTACATAAAAATATAAATAAAAGCTCAATGAAATGGATATTTTAATAATTATAATTTAGTGTACCAAGAACAGGGTAATAAAAAAAAAAGATATGAAATTCATTGCAAATCCATAGAATTTTAATAATAATAATTTTAACAATATAATAAACCTTGGTTCATTCAATTGGACCAAGTGGAACTGAATTTCATCGTCTCTTATCTGCTTGTCTCCCGTATTTCCTATCATACAGGATGTCTATTATCTACTCAACCCACACAATTAATGATATGTTAAATTTTATATAAAAATTTTTAATTTTATTTACAAAATTCTTTTTTTATAGATATACCGGCTAGTGGATTTTATTTTACAACGTATGAAATTTTACAAAGAGCAATGAAATCTGAAGATGGAACTTTTGGACTTCTATCAACAATAACTGCTGGTGGTTGTGCTGGTATTGCTAACTGGATTGTAGGAATGCCACCAGACGTTTTAAAATCCCGTCTTCAGACTGGTACGAATAAACATATTCAAAAATAAAAAATTTATTTAATTTGATCAGACATTGTTAATGAATAGTGTTTACAGCAAGTTGTTTTTTTTTTTTAAAGGACATTATATAAAAATTAAATTTTTATAATATTGTAATATATTTTATAAAAGAATTTATACAATATAATAAATAATAAGATTTTATTATCAAGAAATACAATTTTTCACTGTTTTTAGAAATATTTATAAAAAAAGTTGTCTTATAAATGTATTAAATAATTTAAATTACAAGAAAAATTATATTATTTTTTTTATTGAAAAATTTTATAGTTATACTAAAATTTATTTACAAAAGGGAAAGTTTAGAAACTGTTTTTTGTATAAATATTAATAAATTTATATTAATAAAAATAAAAAGTTAAATCAATGTAATATTTTATTTTTTAATATAAGTATGTTAAAGTTGGTTTTATTTACAGCACCAGAAGGGATGTATAAAAGAGGAGTTAGAGAAGTTTTTATGGCTCTTATGAATACAGAAGGACCAATAGCACTTTATAAAGGTGTTGTACCAGTAATGCTTAGAGCTTTCCCAGCAAATGCAGCTTGTTTTTTAGGTTTTGAAGTAGCAAAAAATTTTTTAGATTGGTTGTTACCAAATTTATGAATGTTTTAATGAAACATTTAGTAATTTATTAAGTTTGAGTTTACAAACGATTACATTTTCCTTGCATCAAGTAATAGATTAAAATTCACTATTAATAGAATTATCAATAGTATTTACAGTTGCCTATAGTAGGATAAAAGAATACTAATATTATTCTGTATAATTAAGTACTTCATTGATATTTTGAATGCAAAAATATGTTAATATTTGTAAAACAGAATTGTATTTTTGTTATTACAAATTTGATACTTATGTGACTATTACATATAATACAATTAGAATATTTTTTATAAACTTTTTGTATTAGTAGTTGTAATTTAATTGATAGAAATCTAAATGAAAGTTTATTCTAATAATAAAATATACAAATAAAATGATGAAAGTATATAAAAATAAATATTTTAATATATACATCATACACATGAAATTAAGTATATTATACTATTAGTATAATACAGTCAATAGTTTTATAGATGTTTCTTATACACATGTAAAGTATTGAATTATAGCAAAAAAAAATAAGGGCAATTGTATTAAAAAATTATAATTACAAATGTACATCAAGTATATATCACCAATTTGTGCATATACAAACATAAAAATAATACATATTGTATTATTTTGTATACAATTGTTTAAAGCATAATTTATAAAATATATCTAATTTTTAAAATTATTTTTATAAATAAATAATAGTTAAATGATTACTTATAATGACTATATATCTTATAAATTATTAATAATAATCATAATAAAATAATAGTAACACATTTTTGCAACAAATTTTTCTTAACAAATTTCTTAATTAATAATTTGTAATGACACATTTTATTATATGCATATTGATTGTAAATATCAAACTTGATATTTGCATGACAAAGAAAGATATTATTTGTTATGTTATTAGAATAAAATTGTACAGATGAATTGTACATAGATTTCTCTGGGAATAGTATGTGAGCAATGTTTTAACAAGAAAAATAAATTGATTTTATCAAACAGATTTTCTTATAAAATCGGCAATTTTATTCTTCCCATCCATCATCATCTTGAGACTCGCATTCACTTGTTGCCGAATTTCTGTCTGAAGTAGATGATTCATTTGGCTTAGGTGGTGGTGGAATCATACTTGACATTCTTACGAGGGCGTTAATAGCTGAGCCAGCAATACCTTTCCTTCTGAGAGATAATGTAGCGTGTAGATCGGCCATAAGATCACCACCGACCGAAGCCGAGGACCATCGATCTTTGGTTTTGTCTGCAAGTACCGCATGCTTCAATTTGGCTCGTCCAAGTCCGCCAGCGTCACGAATGGCAGCCATAAGATTGCTTCGATCATCGGTTGCATTTGCATTCAATACAGTCGAATTCTTTATTATTTTAATCGGCTTTAATTCTTCTTTATATTCGAGAGGTAGCGACGGTGGAAGTGGCGGTAGTGATGGCGGGGGTGACGGTGGTGGTGGTGGTGGTGGTGGTGGTGGTGGTGGTGGTGGTGTCGGTGGTGGTGGTGTTGATGGTGATACAACTGTTGGTGATTGACTAGTCACAACGGGAACATTGCTACTTGCTTTTAACGGGGTTTCTTCTAGTAATTGCTCACTAACGCTCTTAGCCTCATAAGCTAAAGATAAAGAAGTATTTGATCTAATGTTAACATTAGAAAATACTTTGTTACTGGTTTCTGACTTTTTATTATACTGTTCTGAAATTTCTGAAATTTCCGAAATTGAGGGATCATGACGAATTGTTGGTGTAGCAGCCATTGAAGAAGGAGCTATAGGACTTTGCGAATTTAGATCAAGTGAAAAACGTTCGTCATCGACTATTCCAGGTAAATGAGGTAGCATGAGTGGTACATTCATTTGTGGTACCTAAAATTTATTAAAGTTTATCATTATAACTTTAAAACTTTTAATACAATTTTTATCACTTCAACGATACATATAAAGAAGATAATTTCATTTCAATTATAAGAGAATGGATAAATACCCTATCATTTATTTAATATATAAAATATGCACGTATAATAAATAATATATATACCATTAAAATCAAAATTTCGTTAAAAATAATGTAATGTGATTTTAGATTTAGTTAATTTTTCAGTTTAATATAGAACCAAAATATTTACTACTTACATTATATATACTATATATATAAACAATACAAGTAAAAAATTGTTTGAAAGGTGGTATAAAATATCTCAAGCAGCAATAATAATATTGTTATTAAATTTAAATAATTTACGTAACAATAACATTAATGGATTTTAAAATAAATTAAAGATGTAATTGATAGTTCAGATATTCAGTTAATTAAACTCTTTCTTACACTTTTCTTAATAAATCTATACACATTTAAAAACAATATAAAGCAAAATTTATATAAATTCGAAATTTAATATATATTTTTAAAAATATATTTGTTAAGTTTTTAAATAAAAATTGAGTGCTAAAGTTTTAAAATAAAAATGCTTATTGCTTGTTTCTTTTATTAATAATGTCAACAATATATTCAATATAAATATATATAATTTAAAATTATAATACCTCTCCCAATGTTGGAGCATATAAATAAGTTGATGGGTATTCAATTTCAGAAGTGTGCCATGGTTGTAAAATAGAATTGGGAGCATCTTGAATCTGATTTTTTTTTTCATTTTGAGCTAATTCTAAATTAACAGAAGTTTGAGAGTCTTTTATGTTAAATAGTAAGAGTGAATCAATAGAGGAAATATTTTCCTTTGCATGATTCTTCTCGATATAAGTTTTTGTTTTTTTATATGGTTTAGATTTAACATAATAAAATTGTAACTTTTCTTGCAAATTTAAATTACTTGTATATTGTCTATTTTCCATCTTACTGTTACTAGTTAGTACTGAATCAGATTTATCTGAAATTGGAACTGAACTTCTGTAAATTTTATTATCTGGAATTTCAATTCTTGATTTCGGTTGTATGACCAATGTATATTCATTATATGTATGATTTGCTGGATATTTTGCTGCAGAATATAATTTTATAGCTTTTAAATTTAAATTATTTTGAAGATACTCTAATTGCTCTTGAAGTTTTGTAGCCCTAGTTCGAATAACTCCAAGTCTATAATAACAAAGTATCAATACTTTATATTAAACTCTTTTACTCATTACTTTAGTTGTAAATCGGATTTTAGGTAAAAAACGTTCACCTTTTTGTATGTAATGAAATTCGTTCATTTATGGAATTAAAAATATGAGAAACTGCAAAATCTAAATTATCCAATGCTTCTGCAATTTGTACAATTGTTTCTTCGTGTCTTAAATCTTGAGGAATTACAGCTGAAAATTTTATTTGATATAATTATAAAATATTAAATTATATTGATTATATTTATTACAGACAAAATTATATAATATTAAAAAGAATAATAATAAATAAATAGATTTAAATCTTTTTATATTTATTATTAATTATCTAAGTAGTTCATTTATCAATAACCTTATAACAAATTTTTAATTTTCTATGTTTAAATTTAAATAATGAAAACTAAAAATTTATATAATATATATTGATGATTAAAATTATCTTTGAAAATATTACGTATTTGGAAAGTTTAAGTTATATTTTAAATCATATTTTCACTTACATATTTCAATTCGTTCTATCATTTTATATAAATAAATAAAAAAAATATAGATACAATTATATATTTTTTCACTATATCATTGTTATATTTACAAGCTACTTGAAATATTACATTCAAATGAACTATACAATCTGAATCTTATTTTAGACTAGTAGTTGCTGGAACACTATTATAATTAACAGGTTATGTAATCTTGCTCTACTTATATATCATAAACTTTATTACTGTTAATACTATAATATCATACACTACAAATTTATTGTACATATTATATAATTTTTTGAGATTTTAATGTTATAACAAAATGAGTTATATAATGAAAAATTATAATTATTTATAAATTTATGTTTTTCCATGGTAATTAATTTTTACTTAACATATAAAATAAGAAAATTAAACATACACAGAAATTATTAATGATCATTTTATTAGATATTAAAAAAATTTACAAATTAGTTTGTACTTTTCTCAAAATACACTCATCATTTAAGTATGTTGTAAGAAACTCTGGGAAATTTCTACAATTTACAACTTCTAAGAATATATTAAATGCAATAGCAAGTTTTACTCTTGCAGAGTTATTATTTCCATAATTTTTTGTTAAGCATTTTAAAATGCTGGAAGCTTCAGTAAAAACTAAATTTCTTGTAACAACATAATTTTTATTTTCAATCGAAGCAGCATGTCTAATCCATTGCCAAATTTGTGCTCTAGAAATTTCAGCTGTTGCAGAATCTTCAATAGTTTCTTTAAATTTAAATACACCTTCACCACATAACCAATGATATATAAAGAGTATTGTAACTGAAATATTATGTTTTAATCCTTTTTCAGTTACTCCTCCTGTTGGCAATATTAATAAATCAGTTTCTGTTATTATATTAGATGTTCCAGAATAATTAATTTGACTTGGAAAGGATCCTCCATACTTTTCCCAAAGATTAGTAATGAATTCAATTAACCCTAAATCATATATTAGAAATCCATCCACTCCTGCTTGTATTTCTATCAGTTTATCTTCAATTATATTTTGTAGAACCTTATCAAAATCTTTAGATTGTTTAGATGGTAAAAGTTTAGCTATCATTCCTCCTGTAGCAAATGTATTCCTATTATGACAGATTTTAATTACTAAGTCCATATATTTTTTCAAAAAGGGTCTGTTCATATTTACATATTTATTTCTATCTGGAAGTACAAAAGATAAATCATCACCAAATTTAGAAATAATTGATGCAGCATAATCCCAAATACCACAATTTAAACCTAATGAATGATCTTTCAATTCATATAAAATTTGGTCCATTTCAAATACAGATAAAATATTTTCAATAAGGACACATGCTTTTATTGTTCCATAAGGTATACGTAATCTTAATTGACTCCATATAAAAATTTCATTCCAGAGTTTTGCTTCTGCTGCTCCTTCTAATTTGGATAAATAGAAAAATGGTCCAGAATCACACTGAGAAAGAATATACCCATTATGAAATATTAATAAACCAAAATCAAACAAAGACCCAGGAATTTCTCTGCCATTAATACTCATATTGTGTTCTATCATGTTCCAAGCTCTTGGACGGAACATGAGTATTGGTGCATCTGATATTTTAGGAATATTTAAAATCTTATTATGAACAACTCGATAAATATTATAGAGTCCAATTATTTGATTTCTCCATGTTGGGCAATGGCCATCATCAAAATCAACCTGAATTCCTTGAACATTTTTATTTAAAGATGAAATAAATCGTGTATAATTACACGGACTAACATCTCCAACATCTAAATGTCGATTTTGAAGTCTATGATCTAAAATAAATATATATTTATTAAATTTATAGAAATATAAATTTATTATTTTCAAAATGAACACTGAAAAGTTTAAAAAAATTATTGAACTTACTGACTGGTGCTACTTTCCAATCATCTTTAATATAATCAGACTTAAGAAATTTTGGTATTCTATGAGTTTTCTTTTGAATAAACTTTCTTTCTAATCTTGTAAGGTATAAATCTTCAATTTTATTTCGAAAATGAAGGTTAAGATCAATTAAAAATTGTATTGCTTCAGGTGTTAATAAAGTATGAAATTCTTGTTCAAGTCCAACTGGTACTGGACTCAAATAAACATTTAAATATTCTTTTTTATTTTCACTCATTGTATTATAAAAGAAAAATATTAAGAAATGTACAAATTATCTTTATTACTAATGATAATGACAGATAAGACGAGATTGATAAGTTTAGGCAATGCTTTACAGTAATTAAGACAAACATTATAGCTACAAATATTTTGATATATTCTTGGCATTCTCTTTTCCATTCGCAATTCGTGATCCAAATTGAAATGCGCGTTTGGGAAATTTTGCTGCTTCGTGTAATTTAATTTTTCGCGCCAATAAACGTAATAAAAGTTTATCACCTAAACCTGGTGGAAATTTATCTACTGGGCAACACCTGCTCGAAAGAAAATTTACTGTTTTTGAATCAATAATGACGCATGTTTAATTATAATTATTTAAAAATTATTTTGTAAATAAAATTTTATATATAAATAGATAACTGAATTTAATAGTTTATCAAATTCTGAATACTTTAAAACAAAAAAATAAACTTTAAAAATTAATTTTTATTTTCATGAAACAGCAACTTACAATAGTTTTTAAAATTATTTTTAATAATTTCTTAAAAATTTAATAAAGGCTCCATTTAAAAATGAATATTTGAATAAAATTAAATGCCCTACTGAGATGTATTCCCAATAGTTTATTAAACATTTGTTTACCAGTAATTTAATCAGGCACTTCATAATTATAGTTAATTTTTTTTAATATGTAAAAGTCATCATTAAAGAATTTACAAAAAAAATATAGAATGTATTAACTATCACATTAAACTAAATGTATAAGATTAATTAATTAACAATATGTATTGAAAGAATTGTTTAATAATTCATTTTTTACAAAAAAAAAAATAAATTAAATTAAATTAAGTAGATAAATTTAATTAAAACAATTATTTTCTTGACAAATAAAAAAAATTTTATAATTATCATAATAAAAAAAGCACCTTTCCCAAACTGGAAGTTGTTGTACAAAATTAACAAAATCTTCATCTAAATAAGGTAATCTTGATTGTCTTCCATGATCAGCAACCATTCTATCATCTCTTCCTAAATTTCTTTCTGCAATTCTATCAAATTCAAGTCTTAATTCTCCAGCAAGAGCATTCCAACCTTTACGTCTTAAAATTGTTCTGTGTCTCATATACCCGCCAAATTGTTCATCAGCTCCCATTCCAAGTAAAAGTACTCTACAGGTTGACTTGTAAGATTGTTTTGTTGGATAAATTGTTCCTTCTGCTCTACTAGCAAACCAAACAGCAGAAGCCAAACTATCATCCAAAACTGTTGCATGTGGATAAACTAAATTTGAAATTGAAGTTGATCTATATTTTTCCAGTTCTTCTTGTGAAACATCAACCTAAAATAATTATAAATTATATTTCAATAATTTATTTTAAAATTTGTAAAGCATCTAGTTAAAAATTAATACTTGAATAAAATTAAATGTCCTTCCTAGACATATTTCTAATAGTTCATTAAGTGTTTTTCTTCCAGTTATTCTATCTGGCACTTCATAATTACAGTTAATTTTCTTTTCAAATCCAACATTAATTAAATCTATTGTTTCATTAATATTAATATGATTATGTGTTAATGCAGCCAAAATAGCTGAATCTAGTCCACCTGAAAATAAGATACCAACTTTCACATGTTGGCAAAATGAAATATTCAAATATGTACAATTTTTACAAAAATTAGGCATAATTGTAACTCTTCTTTTTACGGATTCATTTAATAAAACTAGTAAATTATTTACAATCTGATCAATATTAACATCCTTCAATATATAATCCATTATTTCATCATAATTATTGATATTCATAATTTCAATGAACTTTAAGAAACCCATTTTAGAAGTAGGTAGTATATTTAAATATAATTTTTCTATTTTTGGCAAATATTTTGATTCAATAATATTAATATTAATATTAAATTGAGCTTTAATGTCAGTTAAAATATTAATAAATCGTTCATTTGGTTCATACCATGGAATACAACTTAACTGTATTTCTTTAAAATTTAAATTTGCAATAAATATTCCAATAGCTGGCAATTCCATAATATTTTGTATAGCTTTAACAGCTACAGATGTTAAAAGTAATGACTTAAAATTTTTACTTATTTTAAATAATAAACTATGCCTTCCGAATCTATCTCTTGCAAAATATAATTGTTTTGAAGATTTCTTATAATAAATAAAACTAAACGGTCCGTTGATTTCTTTTAAAGTATCTGGTATATTAAATGAATTTTTCAGTGATAATAAAATAACTTTACTGTCACAAATATTCTCCTTGAACTAAAAATTTTTTAATTTTGTATTAATATTTATAGAAGAAATTAAAAATATAAAAATTTTCATCCTTATCCTTATAAAAATTCATAAACGTACCATATTACCAGAAAAAACATCTCCATTCCAAAGAAGTATATTACAATCTGTGTCCATAAGAGGTTGTGAAATTGGTTGTAATCCTTGCAGCCATAATATGCTTGCACAGAACTGACCATACCAATGTTCTGATAACTCTTTTTTTAAACTGTCCAGATTATCTGGTCCTCTTGCTTTTATTACATGCTTGCATAACTCCCACTGTTAATGAAAATAACAACTTCATTTTATTTTATACTTCAGTAAAACTTAAATATACTTTTAATATTAAAAAATATTATTCAATTACCTCAGATTGTTCATTCTTATTAAAACGTTTTTTATTGTTTTTTATACAGTTAATAGAACAAAATATGCCACACATATTTAGAAAAAAATTTGAAGAATTCAAAGTTTTTAACTTTCTTAAATGTAAGGAACAAGTATACACGTGTACTAATTATTTCGGATAAGGTTACGTGAAAAGGTTAGTACATGAAAATTTTAATTTATATTTATTTATCAATTTGCTATTTTGCTTAATTAATTATTTTTTTTTTACTTTGCTGTCTTATAATTTACTATTCTTCTATTCACTATTGTTTAATAAAATATACAATAATTTCTAACAACATTTTTATATAAAAGATATTACAAAAAATATTTTTTATTCCAAAGTTTTGACATATGTAATCTACCTGTTGAATTTATAGAACTACTTAAGACTATCGCATATACTAATAAACTAAGAAATATATTTAAACATTGTTTTTTTAAACTCCTTTTTGATAATGAATAACATTAAATTAAATTTTTTTAACATCTAGCATCAACTTTTTATACAGTTTTATTTATCCAAAGAAAAAACTTTCATATAATTTTATATAATAAATTAGAATTTAGTAAATATTAATTTATTTTTAATCTGAAGATTAAGGTGCAATTTATGCTATCATATAATGATAATTAAATAAAATAATGATTTTAACATTGTCGATTGTTTTAGTACTGATCTACATGGAAAGTGATTGATAACGTAAAAATTATAAATTTGTACACTACTTAATTTTTCTGTATTTGCGGAATTACATTTATGTATATTAAATTTATAAAGTAGTAAAAATTAATTAAAAACAATTTGCTGTAATATTAATATTTTAAAATTTCCTATGAATATATTAGGTTGCTTTTAATTAAATAATTTTTTTCATACGTTTTTAGATTATTAGAAAATAAACTTCCTTTTTTTAAATTTAATTAACAAAAGAGATAGTTAAAAAATTTGTTAATATAATTTTTAAAAGTATTTACATACAAAATGATTCCTACTAATAAATTATTGATAAAAGAAAATGAACAAGCTATAGATATAATTAAAGCTTTCACAAGGTTAATGCGATAAATCTTTATATTATTATAATATTTAAAATTATTTTACTAAATAAATAAAATTTTATTATAAATGAAAAATAATAATAAATTATAGATACTCTTATAAATTAAACTTTACTTTGTTCTAAATATTAGTAATAAAAATATATTTGAAAGTTTAAATTAAAATAAGTTAAATATCATATAAATATATGTTTCTAATATAAATATAAGCTCTAGAGTTAATTATAGACAGATTAGTATTTTGATTTATATACAGACATTTTTATTCGTTTAAAATATCGACAAAAATACGTATTAGAATATCTAGTATATTAGATTATCAAATAAGAATATTTAACCATATGATAAAGATATTTTTTAATACAAGAATAAAATGGTCTATAAATGTTTTAATTCACTTCATAAATAACTATTTTAAATAATTAATTTTATTCAATCATAAAAGTACATAAAAACTGGCTTTTTTTATTAGAAAATGTCTGTATATTTTGAACCCTAATGTATAAACTAAAAATATTTACATTGATTAAAAAAATATTTTCTAATATTGTTTAATTAATTATATTTTCGGTTACTGTCTTATAATTTTTAAATTGATGACACTCGCTATTTACTACCTTAATTTTAATATATCAAAAATTTAATTGTTTTTTTATCAAATTATTAATTTTGTTATTTAATCAATGTATTAAAACATATGTATAACATATAAATGTAAAACATATAAAAAATGCTCATATACTTAAAAAAATTATATTTAATATAGCATTATTTTATATCGAGATGTATTTTAAACTTTAATTTGTTTAAATGTTTTTATAGTAATTAATTTTTATATTATATAGATATATTTGATTACAGGTTTTAAAAAACTATTGCCAAAAATAACATATTAGCACAAATATTATTATGATAAGATTACATTTATATAAAAGAATATTTGATAAGTAGGGAATTATTAATTATACATATAAAACTTTATATTTTAATTACAAAATTTTTATTAAGATGTGAATAAAAAAATACGACGAAATTTCAATTCATACATATACTATTTACAAATGATTATTTATAATTACAATATATCTTTACTATTATTAAATCAAATGTTATTTTGAATCAAACTCTTTTTAATAAATTTCAACTTCAACAGACATAGATTTTTAAAGACGTACGAATTATTTATTGCTATCAAAATATAATTTAATATAACTTGAATTTAAATTATAAATATTTTAATAAGTTTATAAAATTTTAATAGTTAAAATAATTATATATAATATATAGGATATTACTTTTTTTAGTAACTTTAACATAAATATTAATAATTAATACAAACTTACCACTATCATGAATTACTAAACTATAATAGTGCATATGGTTATTAAAGCTATTAGTCCAATCATTTTTTAAGAGAAATTTGATTAGTAAATAGAAGTAAAGCATATCAATTGAAAATTAGACTCGTTTTAAATAGTCAGATAAATATATATTTTATTTATTTAATATACAAATTCGCCTACAATATATTAAGGAACTACTAATTCGATTGACAATTGAATCGCCTTATCGCTCTTATACATATCACGAATCATTGCGAGTTTGGTTTTGAGCATAATAAGCACTTTTTTATAATTATTTTTTCTTTACGTCAAGCTTTGACAACAAGTACGAAAAACTCGCGCATCATATCATTGTCTTTATCTCACACAAAAATACACACACATCCTTCTAGTTTTCTTTGCATACATAAAAAAATATTGCGAATGTATATATCGAATTACATAATACCCGTAAGCTTTTGTATAAAGCTTACGTATCTCAGGATAACTGCTCATCATAGTTTATCTAATGAATTGCAACAATTTTCTGATACATTTAATTTTTTTCATAAACAAATTTTTCCTTTGAACCTCATCTCCATTATAAATTAAAATCAATAGCATGAAATATATGTACATGTTTTCATTTTTAAATTAAAAATTAGGCAATATCGTTAAATTTTTGAAAATAATAATTTACGAACAAGTATAATATGTATTAGAGTATTAGTTTAAATTACAGTGAATTATAATAAATACTAAAATTAAAATTCAAGAATGAAGTGGTTCAAAAAATAAAAATTTGCTAATTCAAAATTATGTTTGGAGTAAATTATACAAGCTCATTTCAAAAAACACATTTGTTCATTTTCAAATATAGAAAATAGCCAAAGCTGTATGGCGTCATATTTGTATTTCGTGTTTATTATCTTTATTAAATATAAAACAGTTAAACCGATCTGATTGAACAAACGTTAATCGAAGAATTTGGTTTAAATATTGTCTATTCTATTATCATTTATTCACATCTCAATTTATCCCGCTTCTTTTTAAATAAGCAAAAAATTCCATTTTAATAACGTCCAAATTTTTCTATCTGTTAAAATTATTTTAAAGTACTTTTTTAATTAATATATTGTTTATAAATATTTAATTTTCCCCGTATGCATATTAAATCACATTATAGAACAAATTATTGAGATCTTCACGAGTTAAAAACTTTATACATGAGCTATAAGAAAAATAGTTGCATCTTATTTTTAGATGTTTTCATTAAGTATTTGTTTCTGTTTAGGTGCACATTTAATTACTTTGGAACTTTATGTAATATCAACATAAATCTATGACATTATTGTTAATTTATAATTAAGTTACATACTGTTTATATATAACTTTATGTTACAATGTCTAATCATTTTAACGAAAAAATATTAAATTCGCACGTAGAATTTTATTTTGTTTATAACTAACTTTTCTAATACATCTAAGTTGATAAACTTCCCTTTTACTTATTTAAGCTGTGACAGAGACCTATTTATGTTAATGATAATATGAAATTTTAAATCAAATCATTAGAATAAATGGTAGTCAGTACTACTTTTGATTAATTTAATTTATTTAATTGGAAAATATACATTATAAATCAAATTCAAATATACATTTGAAAATCAATTTTTTGTGTTGCGAAACAATACATCGCTTTGGTCTGTTGTATCTGCCAGGAATTTTTGTCTCTCCAAAAATAAAATAAATCGTTCATTTCCAGATTCATTAATTATAAATCAATATTTATTAGTAATACTATATATTACATTTACGATTATAAAACATTTTCAAAAATAATTGAAATAAATTATTAATAATGAAAATATTCAAATGATTATTTTGAGCAATTAACCATAGTACAATTCAATGTAAGTGTTTCTAACTGTATTTTCATTCCGCAATTATTTTTTATTTGTAATTTTTAATGAACGAATTGTATTTTAATAATTTTCAAACAATTTTCCTTCTGCTATAATATTAATAATTATATGTATTTCATTTAATCGTATTGAATATAACAAATATATATATATATATATATATATATATATATATATATATATATATATATATATATAATTAAATGATATACATATAAATCAATTTAATCAAAACAGAATCGATTTAAACATTTTTAAAAATTTCGGTTTGGTACATAACATGAAAAATAAAATAAATAATATGTTTTATTTATAATATTCTATAACAAAATTAATGATTTTTTGTTTTTTACTCTGCTTTTTGTGATTTTTTTAATTTAAAATCAACTTACTTAAATACGAAATATGGTAGTTTATTAATTAATTATCAATATCATGATAATGCAGTATACTACAGTTTTTAAATCTATACTTTATATTTTTTAATCTATTGCTGTATATATGGAACTTTGAACATAAAGTGAAGATTAAGTTGAAAAGGAAAAGAATAAATTACTTTTGCATACTTTATATATTTAATTTCAGAAGTTAAATATATTTTAAAAATATTATAATTATACGAAACCTAATTATATAAACCTAATTATACAATTTGTATTAAAAATGATAATGCTATTTACAACTTTACCAAATATCATTGATTTGATTGGATAAATTAGTGTATTTGATAATGTAATATAAATGTTCAAAGCGACAAAAATTCAAATAAGAGACGATTTTCTAAAAATTTCTATTTATTACATTGATTTAATAGGATGCAGTGCGACTGAAGAAAATTTAACTAAAAATTGTGTTAAACATAACTTCGTAATAATGTTAAACAATAGCATGCTTATATAATTTAACAAAATGCTTTGAAGCGTAAACTAAATGAAATTTATTAATTGTACTAGTTAGAAGCACGCATTGTAATTGAATAAAGTTTTGTTAATTGCAGTTGGGACTTGGTGTGAATCCCGATGTGGAATCCGGCAACTTTCGTTCCTGTACATTACACAGTTAGGTTTCAGGAGAAGTGCAGCGAAGACACTTTCACCTGGAGAGACAAAAATCGGGCACACCACATGATGTGGCATACAAGTATCTTCTATGATAGAGCATTATACAGAGGGTCACAGGATAGAGGGACATGTGAATGGATCATGACTAAAGATGGGCGAGGACCTCGACGGCAGTAACAGGCGGCGTCTGATCCCCGCTAAGGATTACCGGCTCGCTTTCCGTCTGGACGATGCGAACTAAGTTTGCATCTTTTTTCGAGGGTACGACGAGTGAACAGCTCTGGTGGGCTTGGCTAGTATTGGTGACCCGGTGACCGCAGTAATTCGGCGGCTGATTCTCTCTAGGGCCAGTGACCTGGAGGGCCCCGGCAGTCGTTGTCGGTGCCCCGTTGCTTACTCTGCCCGTGGCCACGCAACTACCGGTATTCGACCTATAGGTTGGTGGCGGTGACGAGGTCGGCTGCAGCCGATCCAGCAGCAACAATCTTAGCCTATACTCCTGCATGCTTGCCTGAAAGCAGATACGAAGCACGTTATAAAAGAGACAATCACTTTGCATTGGCTGAATATGTCGAGTATGCAATAACTGCTATGATAAAAGTGCTCTCGAAAGTGTATTTTCAAAGGAAGTGAATTCTAAGGGAGCCATGTAAAATAATTACGAGTCGATATCACAAAAAATATTCAGACAGTTGTACACTTAATACCAACTCAACAACTCAACGCGACTTTATAATATATTATTTATACTATCTACGATATAGAACATAAACTAACATAACTAAAGTAAATAACTAACATAAGAGTATATAGTTTTTAAATTTCTTTACAAGTATTACATATTCTATGTATTCCATTCACTTACATTCAGCAAAAAAGCCTTTTGAAAGGAATATACAGCCTATACTAGTAGTATATGGCATTTAAAATAAATCTCATTGTGCCAAAGTGCATAACTATTAAATAAATTTTTGTATTTTATTTAATCTGAAAATTTCTCAGCCATTACAAGAAAGTAATAATATTCGACTTTCTATTAATTTTCTTTATTTGTATGATCTGTTTAAAGTCTTCTACTAATTTACCGTTTTTGTCTTTTTTCGATCGAATTATTTAAACAAATTAAATTAGAAAGGAAATTTAAATTGTAAATATTTTTAAGGAATAATGATACAATTAATTTTTCTAAGCGCTGATTAAATGCCTAAAATAATATTTTTATTTTCAAATATAATAATCTACATAAAAATTAACATTTCGAATATTCTTTAATGTTGGTTCAATGTCACTTCAAAGATACATCTTGACAAACAATAATCATTCATTTCTATACTAATTAAGATATGTGACGAAAAAACAAATGGATTCATAACTTAGATAAATCATAAAAAAACTACATATTATAAAATAAATTTGTATTTAGGTGTTATTTTTAATTTTATTTTATTTCTAATAGCTTTAATTATATTATCTATCAAAACATATTGTAAAGTAAGCAAAGTAGATTTTCTATTTTAATGACTACTATTATTAATCACTCTTAAATATGTTCGAATAAAAATTAAAAATCTACATTATCACAAAACATTTGTAATGATATAATCTAAACATTAAATGTAAGAATCAAAGCTCTTTTTATTTATTTCACAGCTTTACTATGGTAGATAATAAAAATATTAATTTGAAAATTTTAATTGACTAATATTTTATTATTTTTACTTTAGGTTTGCTTTTGCATATGTTGATTTTTGGTATTTATATTAAATGAGATTTATTTTAACATTACATGGATGGAAATCATTCGTATTAACTCGTAATATAAAACGTTTTTTTTTTTAGTTCTTTAACTAATCTACTGCAAATTCACAACTACATAATTGAATATATAATATATATGCTCGATGATGGGGTATAATAAAAATAAACAGGGTGAAATATCTAAATCATAAGGATAGTAATACTTTTCAAAGTCGGGACAATTCATTCGAAGCGCTAAGGCTCATAGTGAGATCGATGAATCTACAAAGACTGATTACTTTACAGACGAACTTATGCAATTGTTAGTTGGAAAAATAAAATAGTACTGGAAAAATATAGTTCCGATAAAAAGTAGATCTTTAATTTCGCTAATTACAAATTCATTGATAGATTTTTTAAATGATTTCTCAAGCTATGCAAGGCAAGATGTAAAATATTATATGTTTAAACATTTATATTTATAAATAAGTTTCGCAGTAATATGTCAGTGGCAATAATTTGAGGTTCTCGCTTCACTTATTTAAAAAAACAAATTTTCATGAAAATGAAATATTGCAATGGAAAATACTCCATTGAACAATTAATAGAAAAAAGTAATTTTTAATCAAATAATTAATATTATGAAAAGATAATAATAATATCTATAATGACTAGAAATAAGTGTAAATACATGCTCTGATCAAAATTTGCATAATGTAATTATTAATTCTCAAATAATGTCACTCATATAGAATTTCCTCCTAATATAAGTTATTAAAGCATATTAATAAATTGTTAAAAATTAAAATTTTACTGGATTCCAGATATTTTAATTATTTTAATTTTGCTTTATGAAAAACCCAAAATTAATTAAATAAATTTTAATTGTAAATCTGTGTTATAATGAAAAAAATTTATACTAATAATTTACCGTTATGAACTTTAATTGCAACTAGTATAAAGACAAAACATTTGTCTTTTGCGGCAGTTATTTTTTGACATAATAAATTATATATATAGTAAATTTGGGTAATAAAAATATTACATGTAGGAAAATTGTTTCCTTTTTAACCAATGTTTATAAAAAAATATACTTAATTTAATGATAAATATTATTTAATTAGAAATCGCTTAGATTTAATCAGCTAGTAAACTAAAAATTTAACATGTTATAATATTAACAATTAAAAGAACGTTAAAGAAAACTTAATGTAATAATCAATAATTCTTCTAAAGTGATTTTTTAAAGAATTTTTATAGTTGAGGCTAATATTAAGAAATCATACCATTACATTATTTGTATTTGTAATAATACTACTAACATCTAAATAAATTTATACAATTTCATTAATATCAATTATATCTTATATTTAATCCATGCATAAGTGTAAAATTAATGTTTTAGTAAGTTTTTGTTAATTGTTACAAACTGATCTTTTAGTTTTATTTTCATTGGATTACGATAAGATTATTAGATTAATATAATTTATTACTGTTTTTACTTTTTGAACGATAAAGTTAAAAAATCATCGTCATTAAACGAGTGGCTTTATGAAATTTATATTTTTTTTTATGGAAACACAAGTGTCAAATTCGTGTTCTAATTTACGAGTAGTAATTCTTTCTTTGCATGCATTACAATGTATTTAAATTTTGATAATACATCAAGAACAATACAGATGAAAAAGTAAGGAAATAGAATGCAACTGAAAAAATGTTGGTAGAAGATGCAGTGTAAACATTTACTTATGAGTGCCTAGCAATGTACCTGATAACTCGGTGGTGGAGTCCTGAACTGGAACTCGGGATAAATCATTGCAGCGTAAGGATGCATTGGTCTCGCGGGTGGAATCCTGCCCGAGATTCCTGTCAGGCCGAAGAAACCCCCACAATTTTCTCGACTGGTAACCCGCCAGGCGACTGCACTAACTGTTACCAACACTACACCAATTCCTGAAACATTTTAAGTGCATGCATTATATGCCTTATACGCTCTTTCCGCTTTCACTGTATGCACATTTTTCGTATGTTTGATGCATATTGAATTTCCGCTGTTCGACGATATTAAATGTCGGCCAATCTTGAGAAAAGCCAAGTGATGCTTAAAAATTTCACACTTTCCGCGCTTATCTGGGATTACAAATTTGTTTAAACAGTTCACACGGGATCTCAAGCCTCTGATTTGCCATTTCAATTTTTTTAAATGAAAAATAAAATGTCACTAACTGTAACTTTGTATAAATATGAAGTAACATTAATTAAACACATTTAATGAAAATAATATAAAGCTTTAATTTACTTCTATAATTGCTGAAATGTGCGATAAAAAAGACGTAAGGGCATGATTAACAAGTATAAAGACAGTTTTATTTTCATATAGAATAAAGTCTGAAATTTTTTTTCCTTAAAAATAATTGTGAGAATCATTTCACACAGTATATGAAAATAAATTCTAAAAATACTTTTACAGTAAAAGCATTATTCAATTTATTTTTAAATTAATACCTCTCCGATAATTTAACTAATTTTTTATTTGTATACTATATATATATATATATATATATATATATATATATATATATATAATAATCTACATAACAATAAGTTATTGATTATTTAAATCATTTGTATTTAAAAATGTTCGTTTTCTATTTATTAAAATCATTATTTAAATAATAAATATAATAATAAATAACTATTATTTAAATCATTTGTATTTAAAAATTTTCGAGTTCTATTTATTTTAATTTATAATTTAAACAAAAAATATTGTGATTGTAACAAAGCTACTTTTTTAATTCCATAATGCATAATGTAAATTTCATTAGTAAAATGTAAAAGAAAAATATTTATCTTGTCGACTGTCTGCCAAGTCAAATATTAATTTTTGGAATAATAAATGTAATATAATTTTATTTTTCAAATTATTATGAGTTTTAAATTTTATATTTGTTTATAGTATTAATAAGTTTATTAAAAATTATCGCATTATTATGAACGTATATACAATGAGAACATAAACCCTAAAACATAATTTGCATATTTTTAATTAATCGAACGCATATTTATAATTTATTTAGTAATTGATTATTTAGTGTGAGACGAACAAGATTTACAAGATACGATGTTATTTAGAAAACAGTGGCATAATATTAATTTCATAAGGATCAGCTGTACTTGAGTAATGCTTTTAAAAAGCAAGAGGTTGTGCCATTCGACATTCGTGAATTACTACAGGCGATCAGAAGAAATAATCTAGAACTAGAAATAATAATTGCAGGAGAGAGTCAATGTATGTGTCTACGAGTAAAACGCATGCGCAGTAACAGTTATTCAAGTATTTCAACGTTTTATTTTGAAAACACGATTTACCATGAATTGGAGAATGAGTGCGGCTGAAAACTTTGTTGATGATCGCTAGACAGTGAGGTGGGATGGGGTATGGCGGAGGTGTGTAAGGAGGAATGAGGATGCGGAGACGAGAAAAGAGGATAGAATTCGCCGAGTACGTCTTTAGCGGATGCGCGCATGACTTAAAATCTTCGATAGGTCTTCAGCTGGGCACGTAAGAACGAGTGAGAAGGAAGCTGCATTAACCTAGCCGCCGAGCCTAGCAGAGAAACTCCGGTCGCGGAGGGGAAAATCGGTCGTCGTTCAACGTCAGCAGACGCAAGAAAGGATATGCAGGTACAAAGCCGAAGGAGAGCGACGAGAGAGAGGAGGTGGAAAAGGAAGTTCGTTTATAACGAGTGTCGAATGGCCATTGCGGGAGGGGCGAGGAGACGGATGGTAATGGCGGCAGAGGACGGGGAGCGAAAACTCGGTTTGTGAAAGAACGACGAATGCGCGGGCTGAGTTCCTAGTCATGACTATTCCAAGCTTCAGGACGTATGTGCGCTGCAGATGGTGCGAGGTTGCTGACCAATTCTACCTTGTCTCGAATCTACTTTATTTTTCTTGGCGTTATTCTTCTTGACCGATCTTCCCATACTCTCTCCTTTCCCCCTTTTACCTTGACATAGCTTTTTCAGTTTTGCTTCTTTTTTTTCTTCCAACTATTGATTTGGATTTCTTTATCAAGGCGCGAATTCAGGCTTAAACACACGCAAACGTGAATAGAGGAAAATCATGCAACGTAAACTCTCAAAGTTAATCCTGAGCGCGAAAGTAACCAATACAATTTTATCGCAATATTATCTGAATTCATTAAATTTTCTGCTGATAGCTATAATTATTAATTAGAAACTAAGCTAAGTATTAGTAATCCTATAAAATGGTTTTGAAGGTTAGAAATAAATTAAAAATCTTGTTATCGTCATTTATAGGAAAGTTCCATTCGTAAATATGCCGTTTCTGAATGTATACAGCATAATCGTTGATTTTGTGCCATACATATTATATATTGTTTATACGAAATAAGTAGCATAAATGGAAATCAATTGTATTTCAATATAAATAAATATATACATATATCTATGATATAATTATTACAAGTATTTATTATTAATCAGTAAAAATTTATGAATTAAATTTATTTGACTATTATTATTTTCTTATTGAGTTAAATTTTCGTATGTTTTAAAATAAATGTTATAACAATTTACAATTCTGTAATTTTTAAAATCGAATGAAAAAGTTTAATTATAAATTTTTTGTAAGAAGCAATGAAAAAGAATTTTTATTAAAAGTTGATGTTGCTTCAAAGTATATAGTATGCAATACTTAAAGCTCAGTACTTTATGTATTATGTGTATTTTGTATATGTATTCTCAGTATTTTATGTATTATTATTATTTGTTTTTTAATAGAACATTACAATAGATTCATCAATGTTAACTATTACTAATTTATATGAGTATAATATGTATGTCATCATTGGTTTGATCATCATATCATAGGCTGTTCCAAATTATTCCAAATCACCGAGTAATTTTTAAATTCATTATTCTTAATTCACGGCTATGAAAATCAAAACTGATGAATGTCAATACAATATAATATTAACAAATAAATTATTGGGAGAATATTAATGTATTAACAAATTTGACGTTAATCCTATCCTCCGATATGATTTATAGAAATAGATAAAAATGCGTTGACATCTATAATTACATAAGCAGATCATATCAACTAAAACATACTGCGTTAGCAGTAGAAGCTGTTTGAAGTTATGGATTCTTCACTTATAATATAGTATTACGTACGAAGGAAAGTTAGTAAAACTAAGAAATATCAGGAGGAAAAAAAAATAACGATTAGCAGTTGTGAACTCGATTAATTTTAAATAAATTCAATTTACAAGTATACTTCGCTATCCTTTTTCTAACAGATTTTAAGGAGTAAAAATTTGGCCAGCTATACAGTAAAAAATCGTGATATATACGACAGATATTGCAGAAACTGCTCCCATAAAAAGAAAACAATTAGTGTAAGAAAACAATAGAAATAAGTGACGTGCGATTTTTTTCTTCTAATCTAAGACATCTTAGACATCTTTCTCTTGATCCTTTAGTTAAAGGCTGAATGGAGAGAGAAAGTGGCCTAAAGAGGGTTACGAGTTTATCGGTTGTTTTAATTTATTGAAGGAACTATCAAGATTTCATAATTTGATCAGTTGATTTTATTATCTATATCAGGGAAAATACATTAGAGATGAAAGTTGCGCGTGCCTCTTCCTTCCATAAGTGTTTTTCATTCTCAAAGGTAAATGCTATCGAAATCTAGATTATTATTTGACCTGATACTTTATATGTAGCCTATGCTTGGGTACAATTTTTAATGTATTTCTAACTTTTTTAGATTGTGGAAAGTTGAGTTAAGATTTTTTATAAGCTTCGGAAATTTTTCATTAAATATTATAACATGCAGAAGAAATATTTATATGAGCATATGCCTCTGCTCTATATTAGTTTCTTCAATAATAAATTTTTAGTAGTACTATGAAATTTTATGGTTAAATCATTGATTTTATGCATTACAATTAAAAATTTGTTATAATATCTATAATTTTATATTTAATTTATATATAAAGATTTATGTACAGTCAGTATCACTTGATAATCAATTCATTTCGAAACCTAGGTTTTGATATTAGTAAATGAATTTTATTGCCGAATTAAGAAAAAACATAACAATTCGATTATAACTTTTGCATAAAAATAGAACAGTTACTTTAAAATTATGTTAGTACTTTTATTTTTCTTTATTTTAAAAAGCATCCTTCGATATATTTTATATTTCACGCAAAAATTTATAAAATGCCTATTTTATACGAGCTTTATATTATGTATATTTATATCTACTGGACTTTAGAAAAATGTACTAAGCTTTAAGTATTGAATTCTGTATACTTTGAAGCAACGTCAACTTTTGATGAATATTCTTTTTCAATGTTTCTTACAAAAAATTTATAATTAAACTTTTTCATTCGATATTAAAAATTGCAGAATTGTAAATTGTTATAACATTTATTTTAAAACATACGAAAATTTAACTCGATAAGAAAATAATAATAGTCAAATAAATTTAATTCATAAATTTTTACTGATTATATATTATATATATTACTGATTATATCTTAAAAAAGATAAACAGAAAATAAGATCTAGATCTTATTATCGAGAGCATGTATGACTAAAGATAATTGTATTTAAAAAATTTCCTTCTCAAATTTTGTTATAAAGTGGGTGGATCAAAATAAAGATGAATGAAAGATGTATATCTTTACAGAAGATTTTAAAGTTTACAGAAGATAAATAAATTACTAATTAAGTATTAATAATTAATATTAATAAAGTATTAATTAAGCGTATTATTGTATTATTTGAAGATTAACCTCATAGGTTGTATGAGGTTGTATTATTGTACTATTCTCAGTTAGAATAGAATATAATAGAAATTATATAATATATATATCCAGATCTAATAAAATAAGAACATAATGATAAAATAAT